CGTGCAGTTCATGCATACTCAAGTGTTTGTTTAAATGATTAGAATCAACAGAACTGAATGTTGAGCTATTTTAAACTTTGGTTGTGGCATGCGTGCAGACTAGTTGATGATGTGCTCTACTGATCTTGCACTTTCGTCATTGCTGCAACAATCTGCCATTGAAATGGATGGGTTTCATATGGCTGCAATTTCTGTCTGGTGTGAAAGCTGCTTCAGACTACGCAGTGACTACAGCTGTTGGGAGAGTGAATCCTGTATGCTGAACATCGCAGCACTGCATTGCTTTATTTTTGTTCACAGTTTCTCTTTTGGGCAACACGAAAATGCCATTTTTGTCCGATAATTATCATCAGCCAAAGATGTTGTGCTTCTCTAAAAGAATCTACAATCATTGTTGTGGACTGTTTAGTTTTTTATTTAGCTTTAAGTGTACTGGGGACTTGAGGTTTCATTTTTATTTAATAATTTCGACTATTTTGCTGACAAAGTTTATCTATTTACAGGTTGGTGAGTTGCCTGAAATCATTCGTGACCTGGCCAATGGTGCCATCACTTGGGCAGAGGTGGAAAGCAAGTACCCAATCTTCGAAGGCCAGGAGACCAGCAAAAAGGAAACTGTGGAAGAGTAGATTGTCTGTTTGTCTAACTCATCCGCCTTTTTGTTGGAGGCAATCAAGGACATTTTTACTTTTGCATTCATAGGATCAAATTAATGGCAATTGTAACGTACAACCAGTAAATGTGCACCACATTTTCCACTCAGCTGGAACCACTGTAACCAAACGCCTCCTTTAAAAGTCAATGAAGCTCTAGAAGGACCTACAGTAAGATGACTGTAATTAGGTTTCCGTACTAGCAAAGGGATTTCACCATTCCTGTCCATGGATTGATAAATGAAGTTATGAATCTCACATATGGTCAAATAAATCAAACCAGCACTTTCTGGACCTATTAAAGTGTGTTCAGAATTTTTTTTCCCCCACAGAGATGTTCAGAAAAAGTTGCATTGAATGTTTTGGCCACATGAGGGTGTAACACCTGCCAGTTGATTTTGTGACTTAAATCATGTTGACTAAAAGGCCTTAATAATTACTGACAGAAATAATCTATGAAGTCAAATAGAGGTATATTTTCATAGTTTTTATATTAAAAGAAACTGGAAATATCAACTTTTTGAGTTTAAAGCAGTATTTTTTAATTAAAAACATTTATTGAGGAAAAGAAATTCTTAAATTTCATATGTATAACATTGCTTATTTGATTTATATTTGCATTTTAATTTAGAATTAGACTTTATTATAATTAGTTTTGCCATTGAACTGTCTTTAGAGCATAACTTTTCTGTTTCAGATCGAGCAAATGCAAAGTTAGACACCCAAAATGGTCTTATTTTTTTGTAACAGAATTTCTGAACTCTGTCAAACTCTCTCGATTATATTCATGTTTTCTGACAAAGCTCTCACATGCAAGATGAATTCTTTTTTATGACCAATTTTACTTAAATGGTAAGTTACAGAATTTATAGATAAAGGGCAATTTGAGAAAATGTTCTCACTGTTACAAGCTAATTACATTTTTTGGATAAAGTATCTTCTAAATTCACACATGTAAGTTCAGTTCAAAGTGACAGCATCATACTTTGTGTGAAGTTCTGGAATTTTTGGAGAATTTTGCATCATGTTATTCAGTTGAAGTATATAAAATTATTAGCCCCCTGTTTTTTTTTTCTTCCCAATTTCTGTTTAACAGAGAGAATTTTTTTTAAACACATTTCTAAACATATTAGTTTTAATAAGGCATTTCTAATAGCTGATTTATATTATCTTTGCCAAGACTGTAATATTTTACAAGATATTTTTAAGACACTTCTATACAGCTTAAAGTGAAAAAATATATAGCTTAAAGGGGCTAATAATATTGCCCTAAAAATGGTTAAAAAAGAAAAATGCTTTTATTCTAGCCAAAATAAAACAAATAAATGATTGAAGTGAAGAAGAGAGAACCCAGTCCAGGAGACTCGAAACGAGCTGAATTCCTTTATTGAGAAGTGTTGGTTAATCTGTAGTCATACAGCGTCTTTAGGATGTCCATGTTGCCGCAGAGCCTACTGGATGTCCGCAATCTGCAAGTTCTTTCACAAGTCTGAATTAAGACAAAAATATCCTGTCTATATTGTCCTGTTAGGAGGAAGGGAGATGGCTAAACAAAGCATGCAAATTCAGCATTGGAGTCAGCATGATACCTGGCATATACGTGTTAAGAACCGGCCCAGCTACTGACCACACCAGTTACACAAGGGTTTCTGTAGCATAAAAGCAACACCTGAAAAACCTGCTCGTAGCATTTGCATGTATTTGGCTTAGCCAGTAGTCAGAAAGTCAAAGGGTAAAAATCCCTCCTAGCTGGCATGTTCATTAAATTATATAATTAAAAATCAAAGAATATAACTTTTCAGTTATATGTAGATTATTGTTAATTTGAAATTAGATTATATAAAATTATATTTCCACAAAATCATCATATTAAGACTCATACCTATTATACATTTAGCCTCAGCTGTCTTGAAGTAATTTTCAAATGTTCTTTTTTTATTCTTTACTGTACACTTTTACTTTGAAAGATATAATTTCAGTTATAAAAAGTACATTTTGTGTCTATCACAACATTCTGGAATTCTGTTACATCAGTAATAAAAGAAGTAAAAATCTTTTAACTTTGGTGGGAGACAGGAATTGTTCTTCATTTGTACAAAAGTGTTAAAATCATACCAATTCTGTGCTTTACCTCAAGATGCTAACCTCAACATCATATGGCATGTCTAAGACAGAATTGTGTGTATTTTCGTCACGTTATTATTTTAAAAAGTGTATAAAAAAACATTGAAAGATTACAATAACAGTTGATAAGTAATGAATCCACTGTTGTTGTATCCTAAACATTTTGCATAAGTTAATAAGAAGAGTAATGATAAGCCTAAATAACGCTAACCTAACTCGCACCAGAGAAAATGTTATCACTTGGAGCAAATCACACGCTTTTCCCATCAGTGCTTAACAGATTATGTTTAATTGCTGAATTGCTGTATTTACATACAATACGGATAAAAGATGGTTTGGAAATATTTATTTGATTTAGTATAGCAAGCAAACAAAAATTATGAAAAATTATTTGACATATTTAATGATAATTGAAGCTGAATGTATATTCAAAGACAGTCAAGCATATGTATAGTGAGAGTATTTAATGTATAAATGGGGGATGGCATGGTGGCTCATGACTGTGGGCTCACAGCAAAAAATTCCCTGGTTTGAGTCCTGGCTGGGTCAGTTGGCGTTTCTGTGTGGAGTTTGCATGTTCTCCCTGTGTTGGTGTGGTTTTCTTCCGGGTGATCCAGTTTCCCCCACAGACATGAGGTAAATTGTTCGTAGTGTGTGTGTATGGGTGTTTTCCAATACTGGGTTACAGCTGCAAGGGCATCCGCTGCGTAAAGTATATGCTGGAACAGTTGGCGATTCATTCCGCTGTGGCGTCCTTAAGATGGATGTGATTCCTCAGTCTGAATTGTCAACAGGCTGTAATGCTCCAAAAACAGCCTTGACCCTGACAGAAACAGGTGTGAATATGTTAGCGCTCCTAGCTTTTCTTAAAGGCTGCTAAAGAGCTAATGGCCCAAAATACATGTCTGTTATATTAAGGGACTGCAACAGGAATCTATACGAGCAAAAAGATCTTTAACAGTGTGCTTATAGAAAGAATATGTTTAGATTCAGCTTAATATCTAAAATAAACATCTGCAGGGGCACAGCTCTAGATTTTTCAAGATCATCAACTTCTTTATCTCATAGTTTACTTTAAACTGATTGAAAGATGACCCCGGACCTCACTATTAGAAATCAATGATCTATGTTCTTATAAAAGCAAAAATAGGTACACTTTAAAAACTGGTTAGCTAATGCAAATATTCTTAATTAATCCATAGTCTTTGGTTAATCTCTGTTAATGCTAATGCTAACTGACACTAATAACAGAAATATATTCATTCATTCGTTTTATTTTCGGCATAGTCCCTTTATAAATTTGAAGTTGCCACATGGAATGAACCACCAACTTATCCAGCATATATTTTACACAGCAGATGTCCTTTCAGCTGCAATCTATCACTGGGAAATACCCATACACTCTCATTCAGACTCATACACTACGGACAATTTAGCATACCCAACTCACCTATAGCTCATGCCTCTTGTACTTGTGTGGGAAACCAGAGGAAAACCACACTAACATGGGGAGAACATGCAAACTCCACACAGAAATGCCAACTGTCCCAGCTGAGGCTCGAATCAGTGACCTTCTTTCTGTGAGGCGAGAGAGCTACCCACTGCTCCACCCTGCTGCTCAGAAACACATTTATTACATACTCATTTTGCTAATGTTAGTTAATAAAATATGTAGCTGATGTGAAGCATGATTTGATCATGTTGTAAAATGATGAGCAATAATTTTATTGATGACACACACATCCATGTGACCAATATTTACGTATTCATGGGTGATTCTGTAATTGCAGGCACATTTGTAGTCCAAAGGCTATATTTGTTTCAGCATATTTGTTTACATGTTTTTATTTTTTAAAGGGTTTAAATTTTGATTATTTATAAAATTTGTCACTTATTGTCATAGGTCACATGATGTTGTATGGCACAACAATACATTATGTACTGTAGAAAGTGTCAAAAATCATGCTTTCTTGATAAGTCAGTGTATTTTTTCCATCATGCATCAAAATATATTATTTGACAAGGAATAGAATATAGAAATGTTTTATTCCTGTTTATTTTTTTACCATGTTAAACCTTTTTTCTATTTCTTATCTAGGACATTCAACATGCAAGCAATGGAGATTCAAGTCTGTTTCTATTGATACAACAAGGCACAATAGACCCGCCCCCAAGAGCTGCTTTAGATGAATATAAATACATCTCACATTCACCTTTAACTGCCTGCAACTGCCCAACAGGCAGTTCGTGCACACAGCTGACACTTTAAAGAAGTAGAGGATGCATTAGACTCCTTTTCTAACTTATCCTTGTCATTATTATAAATTCAGGTGGATTTTTCAGCAAGAATTTCTGTGCTCAAGGTTAGTAAACAGGTGTTTCTAAGATCTGCTTGCCACCAATGTGCAATGCATGACCTGCTAACATTTAACCAAGACGAAAGAGTTGAAATAATCTGCTGTTGACTTACCTGCATGCAGACTTCTTCAAATGAAATCTCAAAAATTGCACACTCTTAAAAAAAGGGTTCCAAAAGAGAGTTTTGGCAGCAAAGCCATAGAAGAATTTTTTCTTTGGTTCCACAAAAAGACTTTCAAGAACTATACAATTCTCAAACTGAAGAACACTGTTGATTTAAAGAACCCTTTTCCTTTATCAAAGAGCCTTTTTGTGGAATGTAAACATTCTTTAAATGTTTTACAAAACCCTTTATTTTTGGGAGTGCAAACAAAGCAGAGCAACTTCATGATGGATGATTCTTGATATTCAACCTAATGCTGTCAAATTATACCTGAGAAGAGAAGATTAAGAAAAAATTAAACTGATAGAAAAAAAGGTTATTTTAGTGTGATGCTTCAGTCAATACAATGAAAGCAGAAAATAGCCTTTAGCTAAAAATAGCAAGAGCTCACATAGTGTAGATGCTTCCTCCTCACACAATCCAAATCATCGGAAACTTCTGCCCTGCCCAGAAAGATCAAATTAATTTTTTGTTTTAGTTATTTATCTATGTTCTTTTTAAGAAAATGATTTGATTTGAATATGCAGTGTGTGATGATTGCCATTGATATTTATGCGGTTTAACGGAAACCTCTATGCTAATAGATTTACAGTACCTTCACAGTACAATTTAAAAACAAACAACCCTATGACCTTGACACTGCTAGTGGAATGGTCAAACTCTTGTTCTGGAAGCCACAGTCCAGCACAATTTAACTTCAACCATAACTGAACACATCTGATCAAACTAATTTAATTTTTAATTTCCTCATCGTTTGCTCTCCATTGTATAGTTTTAAACCTTTGAGTTTAAAGAGCAAATTCTGAAGAATGCTGCTACCTACTGACTTCTATAGTACACAATCCTAGGTTCCACACAATTCGTTCATGTTGTCCCAACATAAATCGATTAAGTTAACTTAATTATTTTAACATATTATAGTGGAATGAACATAAAACAAATAGAAAAAAATGGTGTTGTTGCAACCCGTTTTAAATAAGTAGTTAAAACAAGAAGCAAACATTATTTTTGAATTTAGAAAACAAAATATATCAGTGGGTGCCAGCATTCTTCAAAATATAATCCTTTTGTGTTCAATAGAAGAATCAAGAATCCTCAAATAGGTTTGGTACGATGAGAGAATTTTCAGCTTTGAAAGAGCTGTACCTTTAAGTGTTGTTAGAAGTGTGTTGGAGTAGGCTTGGAACTAAACTCTGCAGGCCTGCGGTCCCCCAGGAACTGTCTGACACCCCTGTTCTACAAGATGAGTTACAGTAACATTACAATTTTGCTTTCATCGCACAGTAGATCATCAATTACCGGGTTGTATTTTTAGCAGAGTCTTAAGCGCTTAATTGGGAAATATTTTAATGACCAAATTCCACACCAGATTGATTGCATCTTTCTGAACTCTTTTAGGTGGATAATGGGGGTCAAAGCAGCTCTACCGAGGTACGAGCTCTACATCTATAATGTGGTGCTTTGTTTGGCGATGCTCTGGGCTGCTAAATATATATTTGATGTGTCCAGCTGTGAGTATAAATGAACACACTAAATGCTCTTCCTAAAATGGTACTAGTGTGTTTTGTTTTGTCATATTGTTTTGTGGAAATATTCATCTGAACGCTTTATAAATGCATCCACAACCGTTTGAACACAATAATAGCTCTACTGTATACTGTATGAAGAAAAAGACAGCAGAGCAATCTGCTAGCCTCAGGAAGCTATGCAAAGTACGCAGCAGGGATCGAATGTCAGTATTAATATACCAAAGAATGAGAGACTGGGAGAGAGAGAAAGAGAGAGAGAGAGAGGTGGATGGTATTATTGTAGGTACACAATTATATACTGTATGCTCTCACAACTTTACAAATTGATATTTTAACAGAATAAAAGTAATAAAAAAGATTGAAAAGTATTATTGTGAGTTAATGACAAAAACAAATATAGTGACAACATCATTAAATATACATCGTTTAATTCACGGAAACATCTGTCTATCAAAGATATTAGAGAATTGATACAAGTTACTGTGTTTTAGGCCAAAAATATACAAATACAATTATTAATTTGTATATACAATAAAAAATAAAAATAGCTTTGTTATTTATATATTAATATACTGAATCTATTTAGAAGCATATCAGAATTAAATGACTGAATACAAATTTTAATTCAATAATATTAATAATAATCCAATAATAACATACTGAATATACATTTTTTGGTATCTGCAAAATATATACATTTATTAATCAATATTGTATATTAAAAATAGCAATAATGAACTGCTATTGAGTGAATATGTAATCATGTAATGCTTGAAAAATGAACCGTAATCTGTAATGTACTCAAGAACGAGTGCCTAATATTAGAATTCAATTATGCAATCCCTGTTAGAAATAACCCCCAGCACTTGATCAAGTTCAATACTGAACAGAGCATTAAATGTCCCTATTATTTCTCTACATCCAGCAAATTCCAACCGAAAGAGCTTCAAGAGCAGCGTTCAGCCAGGATGGTACTACTCAGGCAGAAAAATGGTGAGAATTTTGTGTTTATAATTCATTCTTAAGGCAATGTGAATAGGGTAAAATCATAAACCTATACCTATACTTCCCTAGATGATGTAGTACATTAAAAAATCACACATAAAAGTTTCCAATTGGAATAAGGCATTCTTTCATTAAACATGCTGATTAAGAAAAATTTGTGTGCAAAAATCTCAATGTTTAAATCAGGGGCAAATTTTTGGTTTCTTTTTTTGACAGATAAAGGCTTAACAGCTTTTAGAGAGGGGTTTTGGAGAATGTCTATTGATTAAAATGCTGTATATAAATAGGCAAATTATCCATCAATATTTACCTAATAGTTAATTATTTGATTACAACAAAATCAAATAATAACTATATTAGGTCAACATGTGACTGAGCGACACCGACTATTACTGACTAATTTGGAAACGTTCATGATTTTCTTACAATACCGTTAGTAAAGTAATAATTTCTGTCTTTTAGGATATATATATATATATATAATATGAGAGACTTGCTTTATTTACTAACTAAATGGATCTAATTGGATTTGCACTGTAAACAATAAATAAAAGTTAAAAATGTATTTTTTGTAGCATATTTGTAACAAGTTATGATACACCCAAAATCATTCAGCATAAATGCGCAGATTTATTTGCAATATTCTGTGCAGAAATGGCAAAAAAAATGTCCGCAGATTCTGTCTAGCCCTAGTCAAAAGTATTTTTAAAAACTAAGGTTTACACATTAGCCAAATGCTGAATAAGCCTTTCATTGAATATAGTTTGTTAGGATAGCAAAATATTTTGGTCAAGATACAAGTATTGAAAATTTGGGATGTGCCGATCGATCTGGCTGGTATCTGCCGATAATCACATTTCATGACTCGATCGGTATTCGCCAATTTGGCCGATCTCATGAACCGACTACAGGTGTTTGTTTATGAGTTTACAAAAGATGCACAAGCACCCCCCTATATTATACATAGCCTAAGCTTAAGTAAGATGAATAAATGTATTGTTTTCTGTAAAGCTGCTTCTGGCCATGACACGTTCACACCTAAATGGTTATAAGAGATGTGTTTAAGGGATTATATGCAGCATCCTTTGTTTATTCTCTTAAGGCAAGATCTTCTCTTAAGGTTCATACTTAGAGGGAAAATGTGCTTAAAGCATTCTAAAGCTTAAAGCATCAGAATCGGTGATCACCATGACAAGGAATTGGTACACTCTGTATCGGCTGCAAAAATCCTGATCGGAGCATCTCTATTGAAAAAAAAAATCTAATACAGAGAAAACAGAGAAAGTGTTTCTGAATGCACATTACTAATCAAAAATCTGAAAAAACTTACAGTTTATTTTACAGTAGAAAATATAATGTATCTTGTGCAACATGATCTTTACTTATTTTCTAATCATTTTGCCATAAAAGAAAAAAATATATAAATCACCCATTCAATTCAAAAATATGCTAAATAATATTGCTTATTATACAAATAAAAACCTGTTTTTGCCTGCAGTGTCTCATCTCAATTTAACTAAAAGAGTGAGCATTGACTGATTTATCCACGTCCCTTCCTCAGGATACGGCTGATGTGGAGTGGATGATGTGGTTTTCCACGTTTCGAGAGCACATCATCTTCGCTCTCTCGGGTCATGTGATCTTTGGCAAGATCTGCTCTCTGCTGGCTCCTCAGGTTCCTCCTCAACCAAACACCTGCTACATTGATGACTGTAGAGATGTGATCTGTCAGGCTGATCGAGTGCTTGTGTCTGCTCCTACAGTACAGGTCTCTGGTGTTCATGGTGTATGGGGTGCTGGCGGTTTGGAGCAGTATGGGCTGGGCGTATGTAATGCTCATCCTCTCTCATTGCGTGCTGCTTTACAGCATCTCTCTAGTCAAGCTCAGGTGGCTCTGCTTTACCGCTGGACTTTCCACGCTGGCCACTTTTAAGATGGAGCCCTTCATTTCCTGGCAGGTACTAAAAATGTCTCTGACATTGGCAACATGTATTATGCCTTTTCACAGTGATGGCGACATAATGTAATAACTTACTGTATTGACTGTTTAACATAATAACTTTAGGTAACAAGATATAATTGGTTTCTCCGTTTCCCTCTTTTCCTCCCTAAGTAATGTTTAATGAATAAATTTCAGGAGGAGCATGCACAGACGTTTCAGCAATTCTAAAACATCATTGACAATCGATCTACTCCAATCAGCATTAGACCAATTCCTTATAAATACTAAAAGTTGTCCACCTGCATTATCTCACAACTTTAGCAACCCTCCACCACCCCAACACCTCACCTCTTAAACATTATCTACCCGGGGAAAGCTTTCTTGGGCCGGGCTAGACACTTCACTCGAAACCCAAGGTCTTTTTCTGTCCTGATAAGGGGAATAACAGAAGTTGGGTTGTCTTCCCCGAGCTCAGACCCCTCTCCCTGGACAACACGCCAAATAAGCTTTATTCTTAAAACATCTTTAAGTGTGAACTCGTAAAATGCCCCCCATTTAAAAAAGAATATTCGTATAGATTTCTGAGTGAAAATAGGTAATATATTTCGGTGTGTATCTTAACAAATCAGATTTTTCAGATTTAAACTGATATATTAAAATAATATTTTAGTCATTGAACATCTTTAGAAATAGAAAGACCACATTTAAATTCATGCAAAATACTGCAAAAATGACAAATTACAAAATTTTAATTTGCAAAAAACATTTTATATATTCATTGTTTCTCTTGATTTTGGCTCTTTTTTATTTCTTATTTTTCTTATTTATTTTCTTATTTTATTTAATATCCTTAACATTAATTGGGGCTACTAATTTTTGGACCCCTCTAAATTATTTTAGTAGATTAACTTTAGATTTGGCTTCAGTACTTTTTGTTCATTTGTGAGGGGTACTCATATGCTGAGCACTGTGTGTGTGTGAGTTTGTGTACAATAAGATACAAAATAATAGTTATTACTGTTATTATTACAGTGCATTGTTATGCAATTTTCATCATAATCATTTTTTAGTATTAATATAATTAAATAAACGATGTTGATCATAAAAAATGTATATGTAAGTATATATTATATATATTTAAAAATAACTATTGTATTTCATTAGTACTTTAGTTATAATAAACATAAAAATAATTGTGTCTTTCTTGTCATCATTATTGATATTGTGGATATTTAATATTAATAATAATAATAATAATAATAATACAATTAGAAGAATTTAAATGTACTAATTACTAATTAATTAATTAGTAGTTGTCATAATTGTTATTATTATTGCTATTTATAATGCTATTTAATACTACTACAACTACTACAAGTAATACAATAAAAAATAAGTCTTTTTATTTTAATTGATTAAATAATCATAATTATAATAAATATAAATTTCAATACAATCGGCGTGGCAGTGGCGCAGTACATAGTGCTGTCGCCTCACAGCAAGAAGGTCGCTGGTTTGAACCTCGGCTCAGTTGGCATTTCTGTGTGGAGTTTGCATGTTCTCCCTGCCCTTGCGTGGGTTTCCTCCGGGTGCTCTGGTTTCCCCCACAGGCCAAAGACATGCGGTACAGGTGAATTGGATAGGCTAAATTGTCCTTAGTGTGTGTGTGAATGTGTGTGTGGATGTTTCCCAGGGATGGTTTGCGGCTGGAAGGGCATCCGCTGCATAAAAACTTGCTGGATAAGTTGGCGGTTCATTCTGCTGTGGCGACCCCGGATTAATTAAGGGACTAAGCTGACAAGAAAATGAATGAATGAACATAATACAATCCTACATATACAGTTGAAGTCAGAATAATTAGCCCCCTTCAAATGTTTTTCTTCTTTTTTAAATATTTTCCAAACTATATTTAACAGAGCAAGAATATTTTCACTGTATGTCTGATAATATTTTTTTCTTCTGGAGAAAGTCTTATTTGTTTTATTTTGGCTAGAATAAAAGCAGCTTTTAATTCTATAAACACAATTTTAGGGACAAAATTATTAGCCCCTTTAAGCTATGTTTTTTTCTCAATAATCTACAGAACAAACCACTGTTATACAATAACTTGCCTAGTTACCCTTACCTGCCTAGGTAACCTAATTACCTAGTTAAGCCTTTAAATGTCACTTTAAGCTGTATAGAAGTGTCTTGAAAAATATCTAGTAAAATATTATTTACAGTCATCATGGCAAAGATAAAATAAATCAGTTATTAGAGATAAGTTATTAAAACTATTATGTTTAGAAATGTGTTGAAAAAATGTGCTCTCCGTTAAACAAAAATTGGGGAACAAATAAACAAGCGGTCTAAAAATTCAGGGGGGCTAATAATTCTGACTTCAACTGTATATATATATATATATATATATATATATATATATATATATGTATGTATATATATATATATATATTTATTAATTTATTTATTTATATTTGTTGTTCATTTAAAATGTCTAATCTTTCAGGCAGGGTTTGTGACTGGCGGTTTCGAGCTGCGTCCTCTTCTGTTCTACGGTGGCTGTGGTTTCACCATCATGCGCTGTATGAGTTTCGCACTTGAAAACTGTGAAAAAAAAGATGGAAACTACAGCATCCTGGAGCTCCTCAAGTTCAACTTCTACCTTCCCTTCTTTTACTTCGGGCCCATCATGACCTTCGACAAGTTCTACGTTCAGGTCTATATCCCAACAAGCTGAACGACATGAGACTTTGAATGTTTTCTCTTTTTTTAATAATTGTCATTCTACCAGGCCAATAACCCAAACCTGACGAGGAAGGATGGCGAGATGTGGAATATTTCCATTCAGGCACTGTTACATTTGGGTGTTATTATTATAGTGGCTGTTCTCCTTCACTTCATGTACATTCTGAGTATCCCGAGTGACATGAAGCTCCTCAAACACATCTCTGACTGGGCTCTTGGTGAGTATGAGTGTGTTTGGATTCATCAGTGTCCAAAAGATCTAAATCTACAAAAAAGGTGTCTCTTGTTTCTCTGTGCAGTTGGACTGGCCTACTTAAATCTGCTGTATGACTGGGTGAAAGCGGCTGTGATGTTTGGAGTGATAAACACAGTGTCAAAACTGGACCATCTGGAACCTCCCAAACCACCCAAATGCATTACACTGCTTTATGTCTTCTCTGAGGCGTAAGTGAGACAGTTATTGTCCTCACTATTTGTTTTATTAAAGAAGGTAGTTCATATTACAGTTTAAATTAGTACAGTACCTGTTTACTCACGGTTCTGCTACAATGTTATTGAACCTTTTTTGACTTACAGACGTTTTTTATGTCCGTCATCCATTTAGTGACAGTAAGAATTGCCACATGTAGCTTTAAAAGGATTATAGAATAGTCTTGTATGGTGAAAAACAAACAAAATAAACATGATAGAACATTTTTACATCATGTTAAAAATATACTAGCAAAACAGCATGCTAGCATTGTGTTAAATCATGAATGGAGGACATTTGCTAAATGCTGTTTGAGTGTTAGCATTATACTAGCAGTGTTAAATTATATTTTTACTTCTGTTTGGAATTTGCCCCATCTTAGAGGCATGTTAAAATGAGCAGATAATTTTAGCAGAATGTTAAATCATAGAAAAAAATCATGCTAGACATACTAGCACTGAGCTTAACCCTCCTGATAATCACAGGTCAAAATGACCCAGGCACCATTTTAACAGCAACAATGTTTTTTTAATCTTGAAGTTTGGTGATGTTACTGAAAATGAGACCAGCATTAGTGTAGAGGCCAGCTAGTGAAGTTCCTCTAAAAGGTGCTTTAGCGACAGATAGGGGCCATGGTCTTTAGCCTTCTTGTTAGAGCAACCGAATCCCATGCAAAAAGTCACTGGTTCGATCCCAGCTTGGAGTGAGTTGGGTGGTGTAGGATCGGCGGGGGTTACATTGGTGTGATGACCTAGATGGGGGTGAGGTTAAGGGGAGTGAGTGTAGCGGAGGCCAGCCAGTGAAGTACTGTGCAAGTAAATCTCACTCCTCTGACCTCTAAAGATGCTCTAGTGTCAGATGCTAGAGACTATGGTCTTTAGCCTTCTTGTTAGAGCAACCGACTCCCATGCGGACAGTCACTGGTTAGATCCCAGCTCGAAGCAAGTTGGTTGGTGCAGGACTGGCAGGGTTACATTAGAAAGAAAATAACCTTTTTAAATTTTCATGAAGGTTGTACACATTTGCTGGCAGCTAGCTCTCTGCAACTCTCACATGGTGAGCCGACTGAAGCTAAACAGGTCTGTGCCTAGTCAGTACCTGGATGGGAGAGCACATAAGAAAGCTAAGTTGCTGCCGGAAGTGGTGTTAGTGAGGCCAGCAGAGGTCACTCAGCCTGCGGTCTGTGTGGGTCCTAACGCCCCAGTATATTGATGGGAACTCTATACTGCTCAATGAGGGCCATCTTTCGGATGAGTCGTTAAACCAAAGTCCTGACTCTCTGTGGTTGTTAAAAATCCAAGGATGTGCTTAAAAAAAAAATAATAATAAAATAAATAAAAAGTAGGGGTTTCTGCCCGGCATCCTGGCCAAATTTATCCACTGACCTCGGCCCATCTTGGCCTCCTAAGTATTCCGATGTCATAATTGGCTTCATCACTCATTGTCTCCTCCACCAAAGAGCTGGTGTGTGGTATGAGCTCTGGCGCAATATGGCTGTCGCTGCATAATCCATGTGGATGCTGCACACTGGTGGTGGATGAGGAGATTCCCCCAAAAATATGCAAAATGCTTTGAGTGTCCAGAAAAATGCTGGAATTATTATTGTAATTATTATTATTATTATTATTATTATTATTTATTTTTATTTTTTATTATTATTTTCAATTTAGGGTACAACTGTTGTCATTTTGGTCAATTGTGAATAAAAATCTATTTCTCTTACTTTTATGAATACTGTTTTGCTAAAACATTTATGCAAGTACTTTTATAACTAGAAAATATAAACATTGATGAAATACTGCACACTAATGACGGAAAACCTAGACATTCACAGAGTCTGTGATGAAGATGAGGTTGTTTCTTCATGGAAAATAATTGAGAATTGAAATTACATCTCTTTATGTTTGAACTTTAGTGAATGTATGGTGTATTCAAAATTCTAGGGCAACACAATGGTTACATGCATAAACAGTGTGATGATCCATGTTAGACACATGATGGCAGTTTGCTAAATATTAGAAACCCTCTTCTAAAGAACATTATGAATGTGCAGAACCATGATAAAAACATGCTGGTAGTATGCTAAAACATTAAACATACGCAAAAAATATAAAAATAAAACAATTAAATTATATCATAAATTAAATAAAACAAAAAAATATATATATTTATTTTATTCTTATGTAGGCTATAATAGTTTTTTTTTACTATTAGTTTATACATTTATTATGTCCACCTTTTATGTATTCCCACGTGTATAATATATCTGTATTTATGCCATAAACTTCCACATTTATGTATTTCTTTCTTTATAATAAATAAATTGTAAAGATGTAAACAAAATGGGTAAACTAAAACTTTAAATGTGTACAGGTTAGTTGGAGTGAATACAGTCGTGTGCAGAATACAAACATCCGTAATCTAATTATAATAACATAGCTATAAAATCAGTTAAACTTCATCTTTACTCTAAAAATGAAACACCTTTTTTCTTTCTCTCTTTTTTTCAGACACTTTGACAGAGGAATAAACGACTTTCTCTGCAAGTATGATTGATATTCTTACCTTCTTTCTTTTTTTACCCAACAAGCACCAGAATATTAACAGTTAATATTCCTAATCTCCACAGGTATGTTTATAATTATCTCGGCGGGAAGCATGAGAATATTCTGGATGAGCTGATAGCCTCTCTGTGCACATACGGAATCATGGCCCTCTGGCTGGGACCAGGCTGGGTGGTTTTCATCTGGGCTTTCTTAAACTGCTTTGGTTTGAATTTTGAACTGTGGACTGTCAAGTTCTTCACCATGGAGCCTTTTATTTCTATTGAGGTAACCGTGCTTATACTTATCTCTGTCTAGTGCTCTCTCTAGTGGTTAAATGTTCAATTACTGGTGTTAAAATGTACTCCGGTGCTCTCCCTGGCGGTTAAACTGTATATTACTTGTAGCTCTTAGTAGTGGTACAACCGGTACAACTCAGTAGGATAATGTCATCTAGAAAATGTTTTCTTCCGCCCACAGATGGCGATATCAGATTCAATGTCACGCAGGATCAGGGCTGTGTTTAATACATTCAACTTTTGGACGATTGTGCTGTATAATGTTCTGGCCCTCAACAGTCTTGAATTTGCCAAACTGGTGGCCAAGAGATTGTTACTAAAAGGTAAAGTACTGAAGTGATATTATAATATTATTTTAGAATATAACCATTGCTCATTGTAAGTACATATATTGTATACAGCTGCCTTCATTTGACATATTTTATTACTTGGCTATAACCTTTGGTCGTGAACACAACAAATACATCTGTTTAAATGTTTTTTTTTTTTTAAGATTAAATTTTATTTTGAATAAATCCTTTGGTGCTGAAATAAATAAATAAAAAATTGTAGTGAGCCATTTTTGTTATTATTATCATTATTATTATTATTATTTTATTATTATTATTTTATTTCATCATAACTAGACAGACAGACAGACAGACAGATAGGTTTGTAGGTAGGTAGATAGATAGATAATTTCAATAATTTTTAATAGACAAATAAATAAAAAAAACTATTGAATTTATTGTTTGGTGCTACTAAAAAGAAACAAAAATAAAAAATAAATAAAAATAATAATAAAATAAAAATAAATAAATAAATAAATAAATAAATATACTATTGAACAATACCCATTCTTTTCTTAGGACAATTTTGAAAAAAACATTCTTGATCTGCTTCAAATGTTCTCTTAAACTCTTAAATATTTTGTTTACCAGGTTTCCCCTTCACCACCATCACTGTGATGTTTGTCACCTACTGCTTGATTCAGCTGATAAAGGAAAAGGAAAGAAGACAAGCTTTGATTGATGACCCTGACCCGATTCCCCCTCCTCCTCCACCAGCCCCTGTTACTGCTCCGACCTCCACTGACCCCAGCAGCATCCAGATGGACACCACTGCTGCCCAGCCCACTGAGACCAGCAAGCAAAAGGCAGAGTAGAGACACTCACACTCTTATTAAACATCTGCGGTTTAATTTCGCATATCCGCTTGTTCGGTGTGACATCACAGTTTCCAGGTCCAAACTCTATATGGTATACATATGCATACAGTGCATGGCATAAACAAATACACCCTCTTTTCAAACTCAATATTTTGATCCATTTCATCAGTGACATTTATATTAATAAAAAAAATAAGATTTTAGTCACCTAATGTCTTAGAAATAGAAAGATAGTACATTCAAACTGTAATGAGGTGTTGCAAAGAATTACAAAGTACACAATTTAAATTAAATAACTTTTTTAAAAGTTTATCTTGAATTTTCCTCTTTATTTATTTAATTCATTAATTATTTTTCCCCTAACATTAATTTTACTGTTCTAATTTTTGGACCATGATCCTAAAACCAAGTTATTTTGATACAAAAATTAGTTCCAGTTTGAGCTTTGGTACTGAATAATCTAATGTACTTGCATACATTTTATTATTTAGCATTACTGTAAAGCATCATACAAGATAATCATTTAAAAGAGATCTGTGTGTTTGGTGTCAAATATACTTGCGCTGCTAATATACTTTCACAGTGTACTGTAACACTATTGAAAATCATGATAGTAATATTTATATCTATCTCAGATGCTCAAAAAGTGATACATCTTTTATAAATCATTCAAATATTGGTGTGTGGAATGCAGCGGAGCCTGTGGAGCATCATGATTTAGTAAAAGATTTGCTTTAATATGTGATGTGACTAAACAGTGGTCATCGACTTTTATTGAGTTTTGTTTATTCAAACACTTGGGCCTGGAAACAATAGTCCATATACAGTATGTTACAATTTAACAAGCAGATTGGAATTATGGAAACAATCCTAGTCTAGAAATATGTAAAAAAAAAAAAAAAAAAAAAAGGTATTTTAAGTACACTGTAAGGACTGATGCTGCATTTGAAAAGTTTTTACAGATTGCAACCTCTACCATCACTGGCTGCTTTTAAATTAAGCCTAGTAATAGTTTTACATCTGCAGTTAAAAAAATAGATAATGAATCTTATTACTACACATTTGATGACAGATTTCATTTAAATGAAATAGCAGAAGTGATAATTGCCTGAAAATGAAAATGCTCTCAATGTTCACAATGTTTCTTTGTGATATGCATTAAAAACATATTGGTTTGTGACTTTTGTGTATATGTCTTTCTTTCAACTTGCACATTTGTCTCATTAATAATTTAATTATTTCTTTTTAATATTGTTATATTTACTATTAATAAATCATTAATATGAACTATTACTTTTTTTTAGCTCAACAGACTCCTAATTTTCAGCTTATTAATAGTTATTAAGGTAGTAATTAGGTTTAGGTTTTACATTAGGATGTAAAATAAGATCATACAAAATATGTACTTTATTAGTACTAATAAACAGCTAATGTAATGTAATACAGTAGGCAGGTAACAAGCCATTAGTTAATAGTGAGATTGAGGAGCCACAGTATAGTAAATTACAGTATGACAAAATGATCACTTGAACTAAGCAAAAGCATTAATGTCACAGAGAACATTCAAGACCTTTGATGTCATTAAACCCTGTTCACTCTTGGATATTTATACAAGCTGGCACAGTTTCTCCTATTTGTTCAGCCATGAATGAACTGCTGATATTCTCATCAGTGACTCAGAGGTTTTCTTAGAAATATAAATAGGGAAGTTGTGATTAAGACATGCTGACCTTACTACACATATAAACGGTGAGTTTGTTGTGTTATCTCTTCAAGAAGTCCTCTGTATAATTTCGTTAAATATACACAAAATGTAAAAAGACACACTTCTTTTATATATTCTTGTTCTTTTATACATTTTAATACATAATGATGCATATAATAGTATGTAGTTTTGCATCACTAAATGACGATCAAAGACATTAATGTTTCAAACATCAAAATAAAATGTAATTTATTAAAGTACACACTTGCATTTATTATAGAAATCACTTTTGCAACATTTGATGTAGTTACTTGGAGTTTTTAATTGTAAGAAAGACACAAGTAAAGCTTTATATAATATCCTTGTTACACATTCTATGTATTGCTATATTAATTACGATCAATTGTGTATAATTAAATGCAACTAACCCTAAACCTAACTTGGAACCTAAATATCAACCATATATTAAGTACATGTAATTAATAAATATTACTGCAGTAGTTAAATGAATTATGATAAAAGCATGAAAAAAAAAAAGTTTAACCAATGTTTAACTCAATCTCATGGTAATTCACACGTTTGGCTTCAAATATTGTTGTTGTTTTTTTTTTTACATGAACTCTCATCAATCTCAAGATGGTAATATTAATAAACCTGGCTCATTCTGTTTATGTACACAATATATATTTCTGGAGAGAGAAAAATACATCCCAGGAACTGCATTTTGTTTTTTCAGTTTTTTTATTTATTTATTTTTTTTTTGCAGTTTTTGTTTTTGCGTATCCTCCAGAGGCAGCTGTGTATGATTTTTCAGATCTCGCAAGTGCCATTAGCGTATGATGTTCTCATGTAAATCCACCAGAGGTCGCTGTTGACTAACTGACTGACTGACCAACCAACCAATAACCCCACCCTCAACCTTCCCTAAACCCAACCAATAGTATTTTAAAAAACACCTATTTACCCACCCACCCCCTTCCCTAAACCCAACTGCATTGTTTTGTAAAGGAATCCAGAAAAGAAAAAGAAAAGCCCCCTGTTTTTTACCACATTTTCAGTTTTTGCCACATTCTTACCCTGTTATTTTCTTGTTTATTTTTTTTTTCGGCTTCTGTTATTGTTTTTCTGGAACTGTGCTTCACCTTACTCGAACTCCATCATGGTAAACTTTGCTCCGCATCTCAAGGCCGCCAAAGTATGTGTTATGCTACTAGAAAACTGGTAGGACCGGGAAGCCGCCCACATGCAGGTAAGCGGTCAGCTGGTAAGCGAGAAAAGGAATGGCTTCATTTTAAAGATGAAATGTAGCCATTTGTGGCTCTGGCTACATAATTCCTGATCTCTAGAAATGTTATGTTTTCAGAATAAGTCTATGTTGATGACGAGGTTAGAGTCAGATGAAGAATGGTTCCACAAAGCAGGTAAATCAAAAACAAAATGGTGAGAAAAGGGTAAGATTGTTAAAAATCAGGCAGCCGCAAGGGCTTTTCTTTTATCTGGATTGTTTTTGAAAACAATCGGTTGGGTTTAGAGAAGGGGTAAACAGCGACCTCTGGTGAATATATGTGAGAACAGCAAGTTTGAATGACACTCGCAAGAGAAATTTTGAGATCTTAAAAAGCAAACGCAGTGGCCTCTGATGGATTCAAAAACAAAAATTGCAAAAAAAAAATGTACCAGTTATTTTGCAGTCTCCAGAAATGTATAGAGGGGTACGTTTCAATAATGAGCCTGGATGGTTACAGGGATCCCTTTATGCTTACTTTTTTTCTTAAAGAAATATATTTTGAAGATACATTTTACAATTAATTTTAGTGTGTTTTTTGATGGTAACTATGCTTTTGATTACTGAGTAATATTAAATAACTACATGTACATTCTATTTAGTTAGGGTTGGGATGAGGGTTAGGTCTAAGGTTAGTTGCATGTAATTACGTTTTTGTAATTACTTTTTGTCATTACTGTAGTAAATTCATTATAACATGTATAACAAGGACGCCCTAATAAAGCTAAAAATGTTTGTATATGAGTATGAATTCATACACATCAGCAAAAAAATTAGCAAAAGCGTAAAATAGTAACCTCTTTATAATGTTATAGTGCATTTTTTTTAATATAGGAAGATTGATGTCAAACGTATTGAACATTGACCATGCAATTATATCAATAAATGGCTTTAAAAATATTCACTCCTTGAAAATATTTTTTTGGTCCACGCTTTGAATAATATACTGACACAACTTAAAATAATGATAGCCTATGGATAAAAGGTTATAAAATAATGTCAAAAGAGTGATTCATAGTTCCCTTAAGGTAGTATGTAATGATCTTACCCAGTGTTTTTTTACACTGCCGCCCCTCATTGGGGAAGTGTGTCAGCTGTTGCAGGGGGCTTGGGTTGTGTTTCACATGTACAAGTATGGATTCCACATCTTTGTGAAAGATCTATAAATATCCTCCAGTTGGAGCTGGGTTGAAGTCCTGGGACAGCTGATGAATCCCGGAACTGACTGAGCCCTGACTCCTTTCTCCACCAGAAGCAGAAGTGTGCTACCTGTACAGACATTCATTGACTTCAGTGGGACACTAAGGGATTGAAGACAGTCAGCATGGCTCTACCCATAGACCCAATGGAGGAGCCGCGAATGTACCAGCAAACCTTGCTGCAGGACGGCCTGTATGATCTTCTGGAGAGTGATATGATGGTTGATTGTGTGTTGAAGATAAAAGACAAGGAGTTTCCCTGCCACCGGTTGGTCCTGGCGGCCTGCAGCTCCTACTTCAGAGCTTTCTTCAAATCAGGTGTGGAGGAGAGCAAACAGCGAGAGATTGTTTTGGAGGACGTGGAGCCTGGAGTCATGGGAATTATCCTGAAGTACCTCTACACCTCCAACATCAATGTGACAGAGCAAAACGTTCAGGACATCTTCGCCTTGTCTAACATGCTTCAGATCCCGTCAATATTCACTGTATGTGTCTCGTTCCTGCAAAAGCGCCTGAGTTTGAGCAACTGCTTAGCCATTTTTAGATTAGGCCTGATGTTGGATTGTCCTCGTCTTGCCATATCGGCGAGGAACTTTGCTTGCGAGCGCTTTCAGTTTATTACTCGGGATGAGGAATTCCTGCAGCTGACTCCAAGCGAATTGGCGGCAGTTTTGGCATCAGACTCTTTGAACGTAGAGACGGAGCAGGATGTTTTTGAGGCTTTGATCAAGTGGGTTGGACATGACCAAGAGAACAGAATTGGGGACTTACCAGATCTGCTGGACTGCATCAGGCTACGTCTGGTTCCTCGGGACTACTTTGTCAAAAATGTGGAGAAACATGAGTGGTTGAGCTCGAATCCTGAGATCACTAAGAAACTCCAACTGGTCAAAGATGCCCATGCGGGGAAGCTTCCGGAACTCAAGAAAACCAAAAACAAAAAGAGTCCTAGTGAGGAAGGACAGAAGAAGGGAGATGAAGAGGAGGTGGAGGAGGAGGAAGAGCAGGAAGAGCGACTTCCAGGAATCTTGAATGACAACCTGCGGTTCGGGATGTTCTTGAGAGAGTTGATCTTTTTGATCAATGACTCTGCATCGGTGGCTTATGACCCAACAGGAAATGATTGTTATGTGGCATCGGTCTCAACTCAAATTCCCAAAAACCATTGCAGTCTGGTCACAAAGGAAAACCAGATATTTGTGGCAGGTGGACTCTTTTTTGATGAGCAGAGCAAAGATGAACAGATTTACTCATACTTTTTACAGGTAAAGAACTGCTTTTTCACTGCTTCAGTCACGTTTTCATTCATTGTTTTGTCAGTATTAATCATTTTACACATTGGCAAGTTTGAGGACAACATTAAAATATGAGTAAACTGATAAGAGTGTGTATGTCTCTACCCAGCTATATTTACATATATGTAAGACCCCAAGAAATCTGTTATTTACCTGTAGTTCATTGATGGCTTAAATGTATAGTTCACCCAAAAATGATAAATCTTTGAATAGAAAAGAAAATACAGTTGGCTCTCCTGAATTATTAGCTCTGCTGTGTGGATGTGTGTGTGTATATATATATATATATATATATATATATATATATATTTATTTTTTTTTTTTATCCCTTAATTTCAGTTTAACAGAAATATTTTTTCAAAACATTTCTAAACATAATAGTTTAAATAGCTCATTTCTAATAACTGATTTATTTAATCTTTCCATGATGACAGTACCTACTATTTCACTAGATATTTTTCAAAATACTTGTATTTAGCTTTAAGTGACATTTAAAGGCTCAACTAGGTTAATTAGGTAGGTTAGGGTAATTAGGCAAGTCATTGTATAACATTGGTTTATTCTGTAGACTATCGAATAAATATTGCTTAAGAGGAATTGTAATGTTGACCCTAAAATTGTTTTAAAAAAATCAAAATCTGCTTTTATTCTAGCCAAAATAAAACAAATAAGACTTTCTCCAGAAGGAAAAAAATATTATAGGAAATACTGTGAAACAATCCCTGCGCTATTAAACATAATTTAGAAAATATATATGAAAAAGACTATTTAAAATCTCAGGAGGGCGAATAATTTTGACTTAACTGCATATTGAAGAATATTGGGGAAAACAGCCATTGACTTCCATGGAATTCCTTTGCTCACATTATAAATGTCAATGGCTACTGGTTTCCAGCATTCTTCACAGTTTCTTGTTTTATGTTCAACACAACACAGAAATTCATAAAATCTCAGAACCACTTGAGTAAATGCAGAGGATATTTAAATTTAAATTCTGGGGTGAATTATCCCTTTAAGAGATTTGTCCATCAATCTTTATTAATAGTTTATTAAAAGTGTGGATTGTAGTGTGATCGAATTTTTTGATTTAATCAGTGATACCGATGGATGAAAGCCTGGGAAGGACATAAAAAGTGTTTTTAATTATCTCATGATTTACTATTTGCTAACTGGTTTCAAATGAGGGGCAGCACTTTTTTGATTGGACACAAGTCTGTATAGTGCAGGACGAGTCATCAATTACTCAGATCAGTTTTTCTATAGGAGAAAAAATTGCTCTTTCCTTACATTTTATATTTTTATGTATGCTAAAGAAGCACCCCAGAAAATCCTCTCAGAAAATTCTGGCATGACAAACTTACTATATGGTTATAAAAATAAAACCAACAAGTTAGGTTTTAAACCATAAGGGGTAAACAACTTTATAGCTAACCCTCATGCACTAAAATCCACTTATATTATATGAGGGTTTGGATGCTTGATTTTGATTGGCTGGTGAACATTCTAAGGTGTGAACATATTGTCTGCTAATTACACAGTTAAAGTAGTTCCAGGCAGGATTTGACCACATTAAAGGTCCATATCCCTACACTGAATTACAGTTACTTCACAGTCAAAACTAATGGCTTTGGAAGAGATTTGTAAGAATCTAAACACACAAAGCCAGATTGAGGAAGAAACAAAAGAAACAGCATCTGAACAATGATTTAGGTGTGGTAACTGTATAAGCAGAATAATTGACTCCAGTTCATTGAATTATTAGAAAATAAACAGATGAGAATTATTGTATTTATTTTAACCCTTTTCACCATGTTATTCCTGACATAATTCTAATTTTGATGGGGTCTTTAAATGATTAGCAAACTCTCACATAAATGTGAGTAATGTTTACAACACTGTCATCTTTACAGTTCGACCCTGCATCGTCTGACTGGATGGGAATGCCTCCAATACCCTCCCCTCGCTTCCTGTTTGGGATGGGTGAAGCCGAAAACTTCATCTTTGTAATTGGAGGAAGAGAAATGAAGGAAGGAGAAAACATTTTGAACACAGTTATGGTTTACGACAGACAGTAAGCATATTTTAGTCAGTTGAATATTGTTTTTTATTATGTGTTTTTTTATCATGAACTTTTCAGACTACAACAAATAATGCAGTTTTTTTTGTATTAAGGTTTCTTAAATGGGCTGAGTCAGATCCTCTTCCCTACCTAGTGTATGGCCATGGAGTTGTGTCTCATAATGAAATGATTTATGTAATCGGAGGAAAAGGAGAAAACAAGTAGGTTTATTTGTGCAATCTAGAGTAGGAATATGTATTTAATATCAGTCAAAAAGTTTGTATTGGAATTTTTTTTATATTTTTGAAGTGTCTTATGCTCACCAAGGCTGCATTTATTTGATCCGAATTACAGTAAATGAAGTAATATTTTAAATTTAATATAATATTTTTTATATATTATTTTTGAAATGTATTTTAAAAATTTTATTTATTTTTGTAATGGAAAAGCTACATTGTAGCTGCCATTATTTTAGTTTTCAGGGTCACATGCTTCTTCACATATATTAACAAACAATGGTAACACATTACAATACAGTAGATGTATTTAATGTTGGTTAACCCTTGTACTTTTGGGGATGTTTTCATCCACTTTCTGTTTCAGCTTGCAGAATGATTTTTTAGTAATAAATCTTATTTTGACAAATATTTTGAGAAGCTGCTTTAATTTAAAAAAAATTTTTTTTTTTTAAATTTACTACCTTTTGTTATGTTTGGGATGAAAACATCCACTGAATTAAACTGCTGTAAAAAAAAATAAATAAATTCAAAATTAAATTAGGATTTAAAATTTGTGAGAAATGTCACCAGCAGTTTACAGAACAAGCAAAACATTTATAAAAAATGTGATTGTTAGTACATGTAAATGAAGAATTTTCATTTTCAGTATTTTCAAATTTTTAATTCTCTTCATTTTCCCACATAGCCTTACATCTTATGTTCACATATTTGTCTTATTTTTGCAGAGAGTGTCTGAATCGGGTATGTGCTTATGACATTAAAACGCATCAATGGAAAGACCTTGCTCCATTAAACACAGCACGCTCGCTCTTCGGGGTCACAATCCACAAAAACAACATCTACGTGGTGGCTGGTGTTACTGACTCAGGCCTCACGGGCAGCGCTGAGGTCTATGACATCAAAACCAACAAGTAAGTGTTTCCACAATACGACCAAACAAACGCCTAGAAAGAACATGTGTAAAACAACAACAACAAAAGGTATTAGTTATATGACAAGATATGCTATTTGCTAGCTGGTTTCAAGTTAGTTTCAGTGGTTTGAAGGAAATTTGCTAGTGAATGGAAGTCCATCCTATACACCAACAAGAAGATTACATAGTTTTCAATCCTTCAACTGTATTCCTGACAGTAGACCTACTTGTATTGTTTCTTCTTAGCTATGTTGTCCTCTCTTGTTTTTTTCCTGCTTTATCTCTTTGTTTCTTACAAGTGTTTGCATATTTATAGGTGTGATTATGCTTTTTTTTTTCTATTTTTAGGTGTGACTTTTAACATTCTGTCAAGGGTCTACAGATGAAAAATAGCCATTATTGGCTAATTCTGGCACAGTAATGTAACTCTTTACAGTAATGTTGATTAATATGCAAAGCCCCTTTTAACAACTAAACTAAACTAAGAGGGTGAAGGCAGGACTTTTTTGATTGGACAAGTGTCTCTGTAGTGCAGGATGAGTCATTAGTTTCTTTAATCAGTTTTAATAGAAGAGAAAAATGCATTTTACATTTTAACGTTCATATTGTATGTACGCTAAATGAGCACTGTCATCTCCGACAATTCTGGTATTTGAACATGTCCCCTTTTTTTCTATCTGATAGGGCATTTGGATTCCCGTAGGTCTCAAACTCTCAAACAGTTTTGCTCCAACTCTAATCAAACACAACTAGGCCAACTAATCAAGGGGTTCAGGACAACTAGATACTTCTGTGTTTGATTATGGTTGGAGAAAAACTGTGCAGAGCTGTAGCCCTCCAGGAATTGAGTTTGAGACCTATGCTCTAGTCTACCTGATTAACATGTGAATTGACATAGCCATGAGTTAGCAATATCGTAATAAACTATACTTTTTTTTTCAGGTGGTCAGAGTTTGTTGAGTTTCCTCAGGACCGCAGTTCTCTCAGTCTGGTCTCTGTCAGTGGGGTCCTCTATGCTGTGGGGGGATTTGCCATGTTTCCTAAAGAGGACAGTGATGATCTCATGCCACTGGAGATGAATGACATCTGGAGGTGAAACGCACATGCACTACACAAATCCAATGTTAAAAATCTTAAAAATGGGGACATCCATTTAGTTAAATTAATTCAAATACCATTTAAAAGTTTTGGGATTATTGAGAAACATTTTTCACCTTTTGTCATTACAAGAAGTTTCTGAGGCTGCATTTACTTAAAAATATACTGTAAATGTCTTTAAAAAATGTTAAATTAACTCTTCTATTTTAAGGGATAGTTCACCCAAAAATGAAAATTTACTCACTACTCAGCCTCAAGTGGTTTCAAACCTTTATGAGTTTCTTTTTTTCTGTTCAACTGAAAAATAAGATAATTTAAAAAAAAGCTGAAAATCTGTAACCATTGACTTCTACAGTACAAATATCATCTCAGCATGTGAATTTTGCAGCTAATATGAAATGGATATATTGTGCTTCTCCACTAATATAAAGGCTTTTTTTTCCTTAAAGGGATAGTTCACCAAAAAATCCTCACCATTTACTCAACAAAGTGATTACAAACCTTTATGAGTTTTTTCCTTTTGTTGAACACAAAAGAAGATAGTTTAAAAAAATTGTAGAATCCTAGAACCAGCAGGAAAAACACATAGGAGTCAATAGTTTCAGCCTTTTCAAAATATCCTCTTTTGTGTTCAACAGAAGAAAGAAACTCATAATGGTTTAAAAAAAAAAGGGTGAGAAAAATGACAGAATAGTAACTTAAACATGATTTGATCACATAAGCATGATTCTTCAAATCCAAGAATACGCTAAAATCAGCTTGATGTTTGTTGACAGGTATGATGAAAGCGAGCGGACATGGAGCGGCATACTGAGGGAGAATCGATACGCATCTGGTGCAACAGTTCTGGGAGTTCGTCTTAACACTCTTCGCCTCACTAAAATGTAAACCTATACACTAGTGCTGGCCAATCATTCACTGCACCAAAATCTAAATATAAACTCTCTGCTGATTTTAAATTGTTTTAATAACATGAGATAAATTTAAAGCATGCCTGGCTCAGTTGGAACATTTGTTTCAGAACATGGCACATTTTGTCTAGACATGCATGAGCACTGCAATCATGCTAAATTCCACAACCCTTTAAAAAGTAGTTTACTTTTGGTAAAAATGCTATTAACCAATCTTTACAGGTGTCAATTCCAGTTCCTAAAGGGCCCATATATATATATATATATATATATATATATATATATATATATATATATATATATATATATATATATATATATATATATATATATATATATATATATATACACACACACACACACAGTTGAAGTCAGAATTATTGATCCCCCTGTTTATTTTTTTTCTCAATTTCTGTTTAACGGAGAGAAGATTTTTTCAACACATTACTAAACATAATAGTTTTAATAACTCGTTTCTAACGTTGGGTCATTCAGCTTAAAGTGACATTTAAAGGTAATTAGGCAAATTATTGTATAATGATGGTTTGTTCTGTAAACTATCGAAAAAAAAATATATAGCTTAAAGTGGCTGATAATTTTGACCTAAAATGATTTTTTTATTTTAATAAAATTGCTTTTATTTTAGCCAAAATAAAACAAATAAGACTTTTTTTTAGAAGAAAAAATATTATTAGACATACTGTGAAAATTTCCTTGCTCTGTTAAACATCATTTGGGAAATATTTAAAAAAGAAAACAATTCAAAGGGGGTTTAATAATTCTGATTCCAACTGTATATATATTTTATTTATTATTTTTTTTAAACAGCGATTTCAAGGCCTAAAAATGTGATCACCAATTTATTTTCTGTAAGTAAATTACATAAAAGAATAAAATAAAATAAAAAATTATATATATATATATATATATATATATATATATATATATATATATATATATATATATATATATATAAAGGAATGTCAATACTGTAATAATTGTTAAACATTTCATAACAAATCAAAGGATCTAAAGATGTGAAAACGCCCTTGGCATGAAACATCTAACCTCAAACTCATTCCATGAAAGTGATCATATGATATTCAACATTCAGACACTAATGAGTCAGTTATCATTTAGAATGGCTGGATTTTGTAATGCTGTTTTTGAACACTTAATGGAGAGCAATGTTGTGTAATCTTGTTTTTTGATGTTTATGTTTTTTTAATTATTGCTAATATGTAATTTTCATTGTGTTCTGTATAAAACAAACATTTGGCATCTACAGTAAATAAAAAACACACAAAAATGCTTGCTGTGATGTTTCATTTAGTTCGCTATTGAAATTATCATTTTATTTTGTTTGTTACAGACAATAATTACTCAGTACAATAAAATGACATAAAATACAGCCTTGTTTGATTAGCACCGCTAGACTCTAGTCCTTGCATTGTTTAGTAATCTGCTGACAGAACCGGCATGGCTGCCAGCTGATGTACACAAAGTTAACTAGATTATAGTATTAAAACTTAAGAACAGTCACACTCATGATTGGTTCAATACACTGAAAGCATGGGAGAGTTTCAGTTTTACATTTGAAGCGTTAGTTTAAGATATACTGTATATTTCTTGAATTTGGCTTTAAAATATCATTCAACATGGTAAATGGTTTCTTTAAAAATGAAACAAACTACTCAAACTCTGAAGGGCAAATCATCTCTTGCTAATCGCTTATTATTTATTACAAAGAATAAAAGACACCAGACAAACTAAACACATGAATCCTTCTTAACATGTCATACTTTCCAAATTTACTTAAATAAACATTTAAAAAGAAAACAAGAAGGCCACAAAGCATCCTAAATCTTTCTTAAGAAGCAGCAAACTATGAATAATAATAAAGTCAGCAAAATATCCATAAAAAACAAAGACTTTCACCTTTAATTCTTACAGATTTAGCTCCTCGATGGCCTTTTACATACAACATATGCAGAGATTGAGGTTTGTTTACCTCTGTGCAATTTAAATTCACATAAAATATAATAAGACTTTAGATAAACAGAAAGAGAACTGAAAGAAAAACAAAGCAGTGTTTTATTTAACAAAACTTGTATTATCTGAAACCTTGTACCTTAAGATTAGTATTCAAATAAAGTGCACACACACACACGCACACAAAATAATGTAACAAGATAATTCAATAGTAATTCATGTTAAATGACAATAGAGTAGTTTCTAGGGAAGTTTTTTTTTGTAATATGTTGATATTACTGAAGAAGGAAATGAAATTAAACATGAAGACTTCAGATACAAAAATCAATATGGAAGTTTACTTTAAAGTCTGAATAAACTAGGGTTTGCTGAGACTTACAGTATGTTGATGTAGGTTCAGCTAACAAGGAATATTGAGAAGGGGGCGGGGCTTTCTTTTTGAGCATCATTTCCTTGTAGCAAAATATTGGTAAGAGGGGCGTGGTTAAAGTCGGAATGAACTGGAAGTTGTGGCCTTTTTTCCGTACTCTGACAGTTCCTAGAGAAACGGAATAATAAATTCCTCCTCACCATTTCTGTTTGTTGTTATAGCGCTGTCAAAAATGACAGTTGGAGGCACATGGTTAAGTTTGCTAACCATGCCCAATACCTCAGAGAGAAAACCAACCGGAAGTGCATTTTCAGATTTCAATTTTAGACTAGAAGGGCAAACTATTTTTTTTATAATGACATGCACAGATGGATTATTTACCACAAAACTAGCAATGTGAGCTGACCAAATCAGTCAGGATGTGTTTCCGAACACCCTTGTTAGCCAACAAAGTTCACAAATTCCGTAGTTACGAACATAGTTTGTTGATTTGCTGTTTCCCAAATCCATCGTTCCAATGAACATTCGCAAACTGCGTCGCAAAGTTTCCAACTATACTGTAGCTAAGCACAGTTCCTGGTTGTGTTCTATTCCCAGTTATCCCCCCCATGCGCTATTCATTTAAAACGTTCCAACATTTAATCTTAAAATGGTTTAAAAACATTAAAGTCATCTCTCTTAGGCGTAATTAGCTTTCAAAGTATTTTTACAATTTGACAAATGCGTTCCCTTTCGCGGTGCACTTTGCCAACATTTATGCCATTTTGAACGCAGCCGTGGCTCATGACAAAAGCTATAGGTGACCTATTATTTAAAAGCATAATTTACGTCTGTACCTCTCCAAAGCTTGTTAAAACAAAATATATAGCATACGTTAATGCTTTTAATTTATAGTAGGTTATTTATCAGGAATTGTATCTGTACTGTAGGCCTTTATGACATGAGCCTGTAGGTTAGAAAATGTCTGCAGTGGTTTGAATGTGTCAAACTGGAAATGTAGACTTTTATATAAACAAAAATAAATAAACAATATCCAACTGTACATGTGAGATTAGAGTGTCAATTAGGTGGTTTTAATGTTTTAGAATAGAATATGGCATATTCTCAATAATATTTGTAAAGAAAACATTGCCGCTATTTGTGCCACAGCGAGTGCATGTTTTTATCAAAACTTATATTAGATTTGTTTTTTAATGCGTGTGTTTGTAGAACTTGCCAACATAGTTAGCCACCAAACTGACAAATGTAAAATACTTGTAAATACTTGTTCTCTCGTGAGATCAGGCAGGTCAAACTGACATCATCAGAGAAGGACTGCCACTCCAAATGTGGAAGCAAATGGTCAGACTGTGATTGAAGATTACCAAAACAAACTTTTTTTATGTGTGTGGAATTACTTGTATGGATTAGTTTTAATAGTTCATCTAAAGAGCAACAATGTACATAAGCAAAATAATGAATACATTTTGATTTCACACAGACTTTAATGTCATGTTATTCATAAATTGAAATTTATATTTATGCTATTGAATTCACATTTGCTAAATCTAAACATAAATGCTCACTTGAAAGGAAAAGTCAAAATTCTTACATCTGAAGTCTTCATGTGTTAAAAAAAGTAATGAACGCGTAAATGAAAGTACCCTCTGTGTGTGAGGTCAAAGTGAGCTTGGTTTATGGTGCAATAATAAATTAAAACACTGACAACATGGTCGATCCGTGGCTAAACCATAAAGAGGCTTAAACAATCATCATCAACATTATTGCAAGATTTCCACCAAAATCATTTGTAATGTCTCTTTTGCTTAATTCTTTGCTTAAATCTTTGACTTCACCAATCACCACCACATTCATAATCATGGCAACTACATTTTATTACACACTTTAAGCTGGTTCATTACAGTGCCATCATATCTAAGCTGTTTATGACCAACTTACGGTTACAGGAATAAGCATAATGGCCAATGCAGAATACTGCCATATAGATTAAGAAAGGTTTAAGGAGATAAATTATATGCTCGCTTGAGAAAACTTGTCAAAAGAGTTTGTAGTAGATTTAGTAGCTTTCAGTTTGAAGTAAATGTAAGTAGTCATTTTAAACAGACAACAGTTTTTCTGAAAATCAGGGGTCCCACTCTTTCATGGACGCCAAATTCAAGGACTTTCAAGGACTTTTTAAATGTTTCAGTGTAATACTTTCTAATAATTTTAAATTGAATTCTCACCCCCACCATATATAGCACAATGAAAGTCCTTCCTGTACTTATTTCACTTACACTTTGTGAAGTTTTATAAACTAATTTCGAGAGAAGCATGTTATATGACTGATCACGACTGGCCTCTCTTCTGTAATCAGTAATAATCCAATCAGACTAATCCAAGCTTACAATAAATAGACCAATTTCACCCTACTGCCTTATCTTTGTTTTAAAAAAATTCCCCCTTCCACCCCATCTCCTCCTTTTCCTCCCGATTCCAGGGAGAGCTCTCAGGACCCACCTAATCTCAGGCCTTGGGCTCAATTATCTCTGAGCTCAGGGTTCTCTCCCGGGACAGCATGCCAAACCTGCTATTAACACCAATCGTATCTAAGTGTAGTATCTAACTAAATATTTACATTAAAATGTCATTAAATGTCAATGACTTATTTTCAAAAATGTTTTAAACAGTCATGTTCAAAGAACTTTAATACAATTAGTTGAATTCAATACTGGTAATATTCAAATGCGGTTTTTAAAATGTTGATAAAATGCATGATTTGTCATATTTCTTGTATAAGATTTAAGTTTAAGATTTTTTTCTGTTTGTGAATTTTTTTGTTCAGTTTTAGAGAGCAGTGCAGTACAGTTGTTGAAATAACACCATAAACTTTAAATTCAAGCACTTTTAAGGACCTATATTTCCTTTTACCTATCTTCCAGGGCTTAAATTATTAGGTCTGAAATTCAAATACTTTCAAGTGTGGGAACCCTGTAAAATTGTTTCAATAGTTTTTGTTCATTTGAACAATCCGTCAAGTCAACGGGATTTGTCATAATTAAATTTTATTGTCAATTTAAAAAAAATACTTTAAGTACAATCTTTTAGAAAACACATACCGTAGCACATGACGTCAAACTTGTCTACTAAACTACTAATTAGCTGCTTAATAATAGTTTTGAAAGACCATTTCACTCTGATACATTTCAATACTAAATAAAATGATTTCCAATTAATACCAAATCTTTTAAGAAAAAAGTCGAATTTCAAAATACAGATCTTACACTTTTAGTCATACTATTCCTTTAATTGACCATTCTGCCAAGACCTAAAACTTCCTAAAGCATCATTTAAAGTCACTTGCTATAACCTGCATTAAGCTGATTTTCTGACCCAAGAACTTAACAGGTGAACATTGTAAGGTAAAACAGAAAATGTAAAGACATTTTAAGAGCTTCCTCCCCATATGAAAAGCTTATTTCCATCCTGCAAGTGCTGACCTCCACATCTCATCACATTCATTTGACTCTATAAACAATGTAAACAAAGAAAACTAAATCTGACACAGAATATATTTACAGACTATGTATATTTGTACATATTGTATATGTGTGTGTATATATTTATATTTAAATATATATATATATATTTTTTGGATTATACCTATAATACTGTAGCTACTACATTTTACTGCTTCTAGAGGTGTTAGCAATTTCTTGAACTATATTTGTATAAATCCCCTCTGTCAGTGGATAAGGAAATTCTACAAACGTTTTCTATGTGGCCTCTTGACAGGCCCATTTCAAAGTGTACATGTCAGTCTAACAGTTTGCTACATACTTACATTTCAGGGCAAAAAACAATGACATGAATTCTATCATTTGACAAATCAACCCTTCGCTTTTCTGAAGTTTTTCAGGCCTGCTGTCATTTAAATCCATCATCAAATAAAAAAATCTATTTAGGATAAGTAAAAGATTGATATATTGCTGTAAAAAATAGCTGATAAACCAGTTCGGTGTACCATAAAGTATTTCAGACATTCAACACAAAATTATTTCTGAACCATACACACCCTGGCGTTCCTCCAGGATTGATATTGCCTCTGTGCAAAATAAAACACACTCCATTTCACGCTCATTTCTTCATAAGTGGTTTCAGGCATTTCAGATTTTGCCATTACACAAATGGCCAACACTGAGAGTAAAGTGCTCAGAAAAATTTAAAAGGTTATAAAGAGAGAGAGAAAAAAACTTGCAAAACATCCTTCTTTGGGTTTTTTTTCTTAAAAACAATGAATATTTCTTAAATGATTATTCTCAAGTGCCTTTGCTACATATAACCTTTGAAGAAAACCAATCGTTCATCCTGTGCCCTGCACAGACGATTCACAAAACAAACTTTTGCAAACTTTCAGAATATGTCAACAGGACAATATAAATACATTTGTGATTAAAAATAAGGTGCTGGAGTGATTATACATTTCATATTCAGTAATAACATATAAACTAACAGGATTTGGTTACTGCGATGCATCAGGATTTGGTAATGGCAAGGAGACGCAGCGGCTAATAGTTTATTGACTGAAGAGCTGTTTCGCAACTTCAAGATAGCGCCATCTGCTTTTAATTTCACAAAGCAGCTACAGTAAATGAAATGGTTAGAATAAAGCCCAAAGTATACTTAATTTCTGTTTGCAATGATATTTTGCTGTAAAAATAGCTGATAAATTCCTTCAGACTCACAAAATACACACTAGATTGAGCCATTGTCCAATGTCTGTGATTTTTCTCTTCAATATCTGATTGTAAAATGGTTTTGTTAACGCTGGTATGTAATGTTTTCACCAGCTTCAGTAGTCTATGGTTGTTCTTGTTCCATCGCCTGTTTCTTTTCTGTTTGTGAAGCCAAGGACAGTTCAGTGTTGACACCTTGTGGACAAACTTAGTGCTGTAAAAACAGCTCATGTGGCCTGTGAGCAGCAAATTTAGCTCAAACACAATTCTTCAAAATGAAGTATACTTTGGGCTTAAACTGACAAAAAAAATACCGGCTATGTCAAGAGCATGTAAAACGCAGAAATGCGATAACAAATCCTAATCCTGTAGCTCACAAAAATGCATTACACGTCAACATAAATAATGAGAACATTTGTTTTCTTTCTGTAATATGAGAAGCTTATTTGGACAATATATAAAATATCTCTACTAGAATAAGAGAAGTGAAAATTTGCACAGTTTAAAAGGAATATTTATATCAGACAATGTTCAAACACACGACAGAAGTCTTAGACCTCACTTTTGGAAACCCCGACGTGAGTGATTCACATTGGATATGAATCAAAGAGCTTACGGGGAGCTACTGCAAGCTTTGGGTTTCAGATAAAAACAAAACTTTAAATGAACAATGTATATATTTGAAACTAGTTATTACCGGTGTTAACCTTTTCAGTGGAAAACAGGGCCGGAGGAGAGGAAAGACCTACGATTGAGTGAATGAAAGGAAGTGAGAGCGGCTTGACCTGGTGAAGACTGGAAGCCTCGGTGGGAGGAGTCACGGGGTGGCTGGGAATCTGATTGGCTGCTGTGTCCATGTCAGCCGACGCGGGGTCAAAGCCCAGCAGATTGGTGGTGGTATCAGATGCCATGGGGTTGCTAACCTGGAAACACTTCTCCTTGTGGGCTTTGAGCATGTTGGAGAAGCGGAAACGCTGTCCACACACGTCACAGGGGTACGGCTTCTCGCCAGTGTGTGTGCGGCGGTGACGTTTCATATTGGGCCGGCTCGTGAAACTCTTTCCACAGATCTCACAGATGTATGGTTTCTCTCCTGGGGCATCATAGAAAGACAGAAACAGAACTTTAAAATCTATTTTTGTGTTAAAAAAAATGCAATAAAAACACAACCAAATCAAATTATATACACAATTAATGTACGCATTACATAATTGTGAATGAATTTGTAAATTTTGTAAAATTGTGAAAAAATCTGTACTTTTTAATTACATACAGGGCATGCGAGAAATATTGACAACGCTTCACTTTTTCCACATTTTTTGTTAAAGCCTTTTTCCAGAATGAATTAAATTCATTTATTTCCTCAACCTTCAACACACAATACACCATAATTACAATGTGAAAAAAGATTTTTTGAAATTGTTGCAAATTTATTAAAAAATAAAAAAACCTGAAAAATCACATGTACACCAGTATTCACAGCCTTTGCAGTGAAGCTCTAAATTGAGCTCAGGTACATTCTGTTTCCACTGATCATTCTTGTGATGTTTCAGCAGCTTAATTGCAGTTCACCTGTGGTAAATTAAGTTGATTGGACATGATTTGAAAAGGCATACACCTGTCTATATAAGGTCCCAGGGTTGACAGTGCATGTCAAAGCACAATCTAAGCATGAGGACAAAGGAATTGTCTGTAGACCTTCGAGACAGGATTGTCTCCAGGCACAAGGCTGGGGAAGGTTACAAAAAAATTTCTGCTCCTCTGAAAGTTCCAACGAGCACAGTGGAAGATGTTTGGAAGCACCAGAACCCTTCCTAGAGCTGGCCAGCCATCTAAGCTGAGTGATCGAGGGAAGAAGGCCCTAGACAGGGAGGTGATCAATAATCCGATGGTCTGAGCTCCAACGTTCTTCTGTGGAGAGAGGAGAACCTTACAGAAGGACAACCATCTGTGCAGCAATCCACCAATCAGGCCTGTATGGTAGAGTGGCCAGATGGAAGCCACTCCCCGCCTGAAATTTGCAGTGGCAGCATCATGCTGTGGGGATGTTTTTTAGCAGCAGGAACTGGAAGACTAGTCAGGATAGAGGGAAAGATGAATGCAGCAATGTACAGAGACATCCTGAATGAAAACCTGCTTCAGAGTGCTCTTGACCTCAGACTGGGGCGACTGTTCATCTTCCAGCAGGATAATGACCCAAAACACACCGCCAAAATATCAATGGAGTGACTTCACAACAACTTGATGAATGTCTTTGAGTGACCCGGCCAGAGCCCAGACCTAAATCCTATTAAACATCTATGGAGAAAATGGCTGTACACCATCGCTTCCCATCCAACCTGATAGAGCTTGAGAGGTACTGCAAAGAGAATTGGGCAAGAATTCCCAAAGACAGGTGTGCCAAACTTGTGGCATCATATTTAAAAAGACTTGAGGCTGTAATTGCTGCCAAAGGTGCATCAACAAAGTATTGCGCAAAGGCTGTGAATACTTATGAACATGTGGTTTTTCAGGTTTTTTATTTTTAATAAATTTGCAACAGTTTCAAAAAATCTTTTATCACATTGTCAATATGGGGTATTGTGTGCAGAACTTTGAGGAAATAAATTAATTTTATCCATTTTGGAATAAAGCTGTAACATAAAAATGTGGAAAAAGTGAAGTGCTATGAATACTTTCCGGATGCACTGTACAGTTATAATATTATATATTTATTATATTAAATACGATATCATTTTTACAATTATACACTTAATAATTTAATAACATTTGTCGAATTTGTTTTAAAATCATAGTGCAAAAACAGTTAAAATAGTTAAACCAATGTTTAAAGTATATTACTCATGAAATGTATTAGTATACACTATATTGATAATCATTAAGTTGCCATATTACATACTATATTGTTGTTTAAAATATTATTATTTGTTCTTTAAAGATATAGACGTAGTGGTTATTACCAGTGTGTGTCTTCATGTGTTCATCAAAGTACTGCTTCATGTTGAAGTCTTTCCCACACCACTGGCACATGAACTGCTTATGTCCGATATGGATGCTCATATGTGACCTCAGCTGGTATTTGTACTGGAATCGTTCACTGCAGTTCTACAGCATCAGATACAGTACATTAGAATTCACATCTCTGTTCTTCTAGCACTAAATCTACACCACATCAAACTTCACAAACAATTTTCTCACCAAATCATTTAACATATTATAAGTACAGTATAAAAGGTGGAACGGCAAAACCTACACTTTAGCCCTACATTTATGAATAAATAGGACACTTTCTAGTCATCAGATGTTAGTGTAACTTGTCTGTTTTCACTGATTAAAAAAAGTGGTGTGAACTGACTTTTTTTCTACAAAAGACACAAGAATGTGATGCCCTACAACTGCAACTCATAAAACCTACCTCACACTTGAAGGGCTTTTCTCCAGAGTGCTGAAGCGAGTGCACTTTAAGAGACATGCTGCGTTTGAAGGACTTCCCACATGTCTCACAGGTAAACGGCATGTCCTTAGTGTGAGCTGCAATTAAATAACAGACAAAAAATTATTATTATTTAAAAATTAACAATGGCATCTACTTCTTTTTTTGTATCACCAGAACACTTTCATTGTAAAAACTGTGAGCAAAATTAACTACAGGGTGGGCCATTTTTTATGGATACACCTTAATAAAATGGGAATGGTTGGTGATATTAACGTCCTGTTTGTGGCAAATCAGTATATGTGAGGGAGAAAACTTTTCAAGATGGATGGTGACCATGGTGGCCATTTTAAGGTCGGCCATTTTGAATCAAACTTTTGTTTTTTCAATAGAAAGAGGGTCATTTACACATCAAACTTATTGGGAATTTTGCAAGAAAAACAATTTGTGTTGGATTGTCAATGCAACCCTCTTCTCCCACTCTACACACACTGATAGCAATACCGCAGGAAAAATGCCAGCACAGACTTCCAGTTACCGTAGTTTCAGGTGCTGCACATCTTGTATCTTCACACCATAGACAACAAAGATAGTGGGGCCATTCTTCATCAATGGAAACCCCACACAGTATATTTGAAATTGCTACATGATGACGTGTTTCTCTCTTTATTCACTGCAGCTGGCATGTTACAGAGTTTTTCCAGCAAGATGGTGCACCACAACATTATGGGTGTCAAGCATTCCTAGATGAACAGTTGCCTGAAAAGTGGATTGGTCATCATGGGCCAGTTGAATGGCCCTCAAGGTCTCCCGATCTGACCCCCTTAGACTTTTATCTTTGGGGTCATCTGAAGGCAATTGTCTACGGTGTGAAGATACCTGAAACTACGGATACTGGAAGCCTGTGATGGCATTTCTCCTGCGGTGTTGCTACCAGTGTGTGAAGAGTGGGAGAAGAGGGTTGCATTGACTATCCAACACAATGGGCAGCACATTGAACACATTTAATAAGTGGTCAGAAACTTGTCAATAACTCATAAAGAATAAAGTTACGTTAAAACCAAGCACACCATTGTTTTTCTTGTGAAATTCCCAACAAGTTTTATGTGTCAAATGACCACCAAATGGCCACCACCCATCTTGAAAAGTTTGCCCCCTCTCATATACTAATGTGCCACAAACAAGAGGTTACTATCACCAACCATTCCCATTTCATTAAGGTGTATCCATAGATGTGTTAAATTTGATGATAAAAGTTGGTGTTGCTTGATAAGTGAAGTTTATTCATAAACTAATTTCGAGAGGAGCACGTGAATATGATTGAACACGGCTGGTTCTGCATTAGCATGCTTGATCCACCAATCAGGCCATTCCTAACCACTATAAAGAGCCAGGGTTTTCTCACTACAGTCATCTTCGATTTGAAGAATCCCCCCTTCCACCGCTACCTTTTCACCTTTCCCTCCATAGGGCAGCACGGTGGCTCAGTGACTAGCACTGTCGCCTCACAGCAAGAACGTCACCGGTTCTAGTTCCTTAACAGGCCGGTGGTCGTTTCTGTGTGTAGTTTGCATGTTCTTCCCGTGCTTGCGTGGGTTTTCCCCGGGTTTTCCGGTTTCCTCCCACATTCCAAAAACATGTACAACAAGTTAATCGTTAAATCTAAATTTCAATACAGGTAATCTAATAATGCAGCATATATTTTAATAGCCTTCAATCTTAATCTTTAGCTATTATAAAAAGGGGAGTTGTCGAGATCTACCTGAGCTCGAGGCTCCCCTCTCTTCCTCCAAACGGGAGGGAGCCCAGGGCTCAAGAACCTTCGAGCTCAGGGCTCTCTCCCGGGACAGCATGCCAAACTTGCTTATAATCAATCATCAGCTAAGTGTGAACTCTTGAAAGCCATATGGCTTTGCATGTTGCTAGCATAGCCTAACATGTTGCCAGTATGTTTCAAAAATGTTTCAAATGTGAACTAGCAGGCTGTTTATATGTTTCTTCCAAGAATGTTCATGCTGTTAGCATGTTTCAAGCAAGAATTATGTTAGCACATATTGAGCATGGATTAGTATGATAGTGCTACATAAACATTTCTAGCAAAGTTTATTTCATGGTTAGCATGTTTCTAGCATCTTTATCATGTTGTTAACATGAATCAGCATGTTGCTAGCATGTTTTAAGCCAGTTGTTAGGCTTTAGTTTATATTAATAGCTATTAGTAGTCTATTTACTATTAATAGGTTTTAAGGTCTTGAACTGGGTGATTGTAGATTAAATGGTGTGAGAGTAAGAAAGTTTTTATCTCTCAATTAAAGTTTTTGGGATTTTTCAGAGTTTCTGAGTCCTTATTAGGAAAACTATAATTTGAATCATGCAGTTATAGAAGACACGGCATAATATTAGACGCTAATTTGCATGCTGTAGCTTCAAAACAAAACAACAACAATGCTATTGTTACTGTTTGTGCATGTGGTTTCTGAAGTGTGCTGTAAGAAGTCAATTAATCACAACAGACTGGAACATATGACCAGATGATCAGAAGAGTTTCGAGGCCAAATCTTTGAATAAACACGAGACAATTTCAGACATCTTCTTACATTCCAGTAAACCTTTTCCAGTGCACATCCAAAACAAAATATAAGCTCTTTAAAGTTAGCAAGACAGTTTAGTGTATAATAAGACCCTGCAATATTACTCCACATACTCAATAGCCCGTTTCAGATGAGCAAGTGTAACTTGTTGCCCTGCAGACAATCGAGTAGGTTCTGGTAGAAGGAAGCACTTCGAGATAAGATATTTCCTCTCTGCTGTCAGGGCAGATTAAACAATACAGCCTCTGTCCTCGACTTAGTCTGTTCTGGATGGCAAAGCAAGGTCACAGCAACTCTTTTCCCAGTTCAAAACAGAGCTGGGTATTTCACTATTGTGCCGAACCAAGCTCTGGGAAGATCAGGCTTCAGGAGATGAAAGTACTGTCCAGTACAAAGGCCAGAGTGTGCTGTGTTACCTCTGCCTGAAGGATAATTTACACAACATGTCTTTGTGTGTATGACCAGACTGCTGGATTTTGTTGTGTCTTGACTACCAACTAGATTTGTTATGCTAAAACTGATCTGTGAGATGTAATGCACAATATTGAGAAGGATCAAGTTTAAAGGTGTGGCCTGTTGCCTGCAAACAAGGCTCTTAAACTGAGAGTTTGAGGTTGAATCTAGGTAACTGATTCGTAACTGATTCTAGGTAACTGATTCGTTGTAAAAAAAAAAAAAAAAAAAAACAGACACAAAAAAAACAACTGAATCAAAAAAAATATTTATACATGTTAATTTTTTAAAAATTAAGAAACAGTTAAAATTGTAAGTAAAGCTGCAACCTAACTCAGTGAAATAACTGGAGCCTCTTCAAACATTTATGCAAAACTTAAAAATGGCATCAAGTCAGGTCAAGTCAAATCAAGTCAAAAACCTCTACCAACATTTATGCAAAAATGGCATCAATACGTTAAGTCAAGTCAGGTCAGGTGAAGTCCAGTCTGGTAAAGTCAAGTCAAATCAAGTCAAGTCAAGTCAAGTCAAGTCAAGTCAAGTCAAGTCAAGTCAAGTCAAGTCAAGAACCTCTGCCAATATTTATGCAACTTAAAAATGGTGTCAATACATTAACTTAAGTCAAGTCAAGCCAGGTCAGGTGAAGTCTAATCAAGTCAGGTCAAGTCAGTTCAAATCAAGTCAAGTCAAGTCAAGTCAAGTCAAGTCAGGTAAAGTCCAATCAAGTCAGGTCAAGTCAAGTCAACAACCTCTACCAATATTAATGTAAAACTTCAAAATGGCATCAATACATTAAGTCAAGTCAAGTCAGGTTGTCAAGTCAAGAACCTCTGCCAATATTTTTGTAAAACTTGCATAAATATGGCATCAATACATTAAGCCAGGTCAAGTCATGTCAAGTCAAAAACCTCTGCCAACATTTATGCAAAACTTGCATAAATACAAGTCAGGTCAAGTCAAGTCAATAACCTCTACCAATAATTATGTAAAACTTCAAATTGACATCAATACAGTAAGTCAAATCAAATCAAGTAAAGTCCAGTCAGGTCAGGTGAAGTCAAGTCAAGTCAACTTAAGTTAAGTCAAGTCAACAACCTCTACCAACATTAATGCAAAACTTCAAAATGGCATCAACTAGAAAACAGAGACTAGAATAAAGTACACACATTATATCAACTTTAATAATCATTTTAAATAGTAACAGTCTAAATCTTAATTTAATTTCATGATACTGTAAAAGAGCATGCGTTCCAGAAAATTCTTTTTAAAAAAGTCCCCTTTTGCATTACTGATTTCAGATCAAATTAAATAAATTCAAACAGTACTCACCAACCATGTGTTTCCGGACATGTGCCATGGTGTAAAACTTCTTTTCACAGATTTCACAAGAGAACTTCTTCTCGGCGTATCCATGGACAATCTTGTTGTGTTCGTGTAAAGACCACAGCTTTTTAAAAGCTTTTCCACAAGTCACGCACTAGAAAGATCAGAGAATCTGAATGAACGGCATTACACTAAACAGCCTTTCCTAAGGGGTCGATGGAAAACAAAGGATTTTTATCATTCTGAGAGAGAACCAAGAACTGCACAAGCTAAATAAAGAAAGAATGTCACAAAAGGCACCTCTAACTTCAAATTCATTTATATCAAATTAAGCACAACAGCACTACTTCCTTAATTACTCTCAATTCCTGGTTAGTGCTTCATACAGCAGGGACAAATGAGCACTGGATGGTTAGATCCAGTTTAAGTTAGAGGTGAAAATGGCCTGGCAGACCTGCTTTAGTGGCAGAAAACAGCTGTTCTTCACGCCGACTGCCTATATATCATCCAGACTCTCTGGTCTACCATTCTGCTGTGCAGTATGCACTCATTGCAAAGTACCAGAAGAGAAAACACATACTCCACTTATAAACATAGTAAATTAGGGTTGTTCATTCTATTATTGGTATAAAATACTAGCTTTGCACAAACAAACTGATAAGTTGATCATTTTCTTGTAATGAAAAATAATCAATAAATGTTAAGAATTATGTAAAGTTTATACACAAATTTACCAGTAGTGGTTAATCTTGCATATTCATTCATTTTCCTTTAACTTAGTCTCTATTTCAGAGGTCCCCACAGCGGAATAAAACACCAACTATTACGGCACATGTTTTAGGCAGCGCATGCCCTTCCAGCTGCAACCCAGTACAGGGAAACACCCATACACACTCATACACTACACGGCCAACTTAGTTTTATTCAATTCACCAATGGAGCATGTCTTTGGAGACTGGGGGAAACCCAGAACACCTGGAGGAAACCCACACGAACAACGGGAGAACATGCAAACCACACAGAAATGCCAACTGGCCCACCCGAGGTTCAAACCAGCAACCTTCTTGCTGTGAGGCGACAGTGCTAACTACTGAGCCATTGTGCTACCCTAAACTTGAACATATTAATGTAAAAATATGATTTAGAAAAATAGAATTTGGGTATAATGTATAATATGTTGGATTTATTTGAATATTTTATATTTATTTATTCTTATGCTGCAATTATTTGATCTTTACCACAAAAATAGCATTACAATTAAAAATTATGAGTTTCTATTTAAAAAATATTTTTAAATGTAATAAATTCTTCTGAAAATTATTGTATTAACTCAATCAGAAATGGTTCTTAATATGTTTTCTCATTATTAATAAGGTGTAAACATTTGTACAGCTTAATAATTTTTGAGGAAACTAAGATACTTTTTAAGTGATTTTTTTTATAAAGAATCTAAAGTTGTTTAAAATAACAGCAAATATTTAAAATAAATATCTTTAGTAATATTTTAAATGTCCTTTACTGATAAAATGATTAATAGTTTTATTTAACGAGAACTGCAACATAGGTTCATTCTGAAAACAAAGCTCTATATATGTTTCTGGAGATTGCAAATTATGTAGCCAGAAGAAAATATGGCTGCATTTCATTTTTAAAACGAACGCTGTTGGACAGTATGATGCCGATCCTTTTCTTGATTACCAGCTGACCGCTTACCTTCATATGGACGGCTTTTCCACTGTTAACAGTTTGTGAAGTTAGCTCGCCATGTACGTTGGTAGACTTGAGACGCAGAAAGAAGTTTACCATGGCGAAGGGGTTCGAGTATGGTCAAGAACGGTTCCAGATCGGTGCTTTTTAAAATATGCTTAGTTGAGTTTATGGAAGGAGGAGGGTTGGTCAATCAATCAGTCAGTTAGTCAGTCAGTCATTCATTCAGTCAAGCAGTCATTCAACAGTGGCATCTGGTGGATTTAGGAGAGAACAGCAGGCGCGAATGGCACTCGCAAAAGAAATTTGAGATTTGAAAAAGCGTACTTAGCGGCATAGAGAAACGTTTTCAGAATGAGCTTGGGTTGAGGTATTGTTTTCTTAAAAAAAAAAAAATCACTGACCCCAAAATGAAAGATAGTATATATCAACATAAAAAAAAATCAAACATCATAAATTTTGTTTGTAATAATAGGCATTACTTCCCAGTACTGGGCTGCAGCTGAAAGGGCATCCGCTGCATAAAACATATGCCAGAATTGTTGGAGGTTCATTCCGCTGTGGTGACTCCTAATGAATAAAGGCTGATTTATACTTCTGCGTCAAGCACATGCATGTGCTCCAGCGCAGCCTACGCATGGTCGCAAAGCCCTCGCCATGGCCGTCGCTGATACGCACCTCTCAAAAATGTGACTACACATTGCAATGATGCGTATCGCAAGCTCTGTGATTGGTCGGCTTGGTAGCGCTGTCGAGTGTGGGTGGCATACCTAATGGAGTGAGTGTTTATAAGTGTGGATTCCTGTGAAATAGCTCCAGATAGAAACTGCTGTTTTTTGTTTACCTTATGATAAAAGTTGTTGCACAACCGCCGGTTCCCAACTTAAAATGAGCGAGTTTGAGCCACTTGTACATTCAGGAAGCATTCAGAAAAAACAAAACACCAGTAAAGAAACTCGTCACAAAGAACATAAAAACCCCCTACCAGCTAGCATTTCAGAAGTGTTATTGCAGAGTAACACAAACAGCACGCAGAAGTATAAATGCACAACAATGCGCAAGGCATCCGCAGGGGGTCACGCCAATCACTTGATGCAGAAGTATAAACCAGCCTTTAGGGAATGAATGAATAGGCATTCCTAAAATGTTTCATTAAGTAGTTTAAATGGGCTAATTTTGAAATGATAACTTTATGAATAGTGAGTGTTCCAATTTACACATTTTATGTGTCTAAATTTAAACATTATTACGTTCCCTTTTTTAATGGCTGAGTCTAACTAAATTCTATGATTTGCTTCTAGTTTAAAAACTTTGACTTTGCTCCAAAGTTTGTGTTGAATTGACTTTACATGTTTACCTTGTTAACATGAGGATGCAGACAGATGTGTATACCTGTATGTTTTTCTCACAGTTAGTCTGATGATGCAGCAGCAACTCGCTCTCCAGTAAAAAGCGCTTGCCACATTTGTTGCAGATCTGCATGCGGTTGTGAGTGACGTTCATGTGCTTCTCCAAATACCAGCGGTTGTTAAAAACACGAGGGCACTTTTTGCAAGAAAAGTGCTGCTTTTCTTCAAGCTTCACCTTCTGACCCAGACCCTCCTGCTCTTTCCTTCTCTTCCTGCCTTCTTCTAATGTGGCATCGATTAACGTTTGTCTCATAGCGGTGTTTGTAGTTATTCTTGGGGCACGTAGTCTTTCCTGGCTGCTGCGTCCTGAATCTGGAATGTCAAGGTTGTTCTCTTCTTCATCCTCATCCTCATCATCTTCATCATCACTGCAGTTTTCCATCTCTTCATTTCTGTGTTCATACTCCTCTTCTTCATCCTCACCAACATCTTCATTTTCATCCCGTTCCCTATGTTCCTCCGTGACAGGAAGACTGACATGTTGGTGAATGAGCAGGGATGACACACCTTTACCGTCAGACCCTTTGGAAACATTCAAAGTCTGGTTGTTGAGATTGACCTCCACAATAATCTGCTCTCTGTTAAATGAACTATCCAGTGATTCTGCTTTATTAGGATTGGCCCCACCCTCCATTGTACACAAACCACGCCCTCCTGAACTAGCCACTCCCCCTTCACTCTCTTCTATCTTGTAGAAGTGTTTGGTTTGAGGGTTGGATGAATGCATTTGGGTAACTTCACTATTATCCTCTACGAGTGATGGGAAAGTACCGTTTCCTTGCTGCACGAACATCTTCTCAAGCTCCTTTATCTTGTAAATCTGATTGGATGAGCCATCGCTCTGCCCTTCGACATTAGCCATCTCACTGTAGCTTGAGCTTGATTGATCGCTCATCTGAAGAAAAATAACCAAATCAAAGATGGAGATGTAGATGAAGATCTGGATGCTCAGGTTTATGTGGTGCAGTGGTTGGCTCTGGGATGCGAGGGTTAGGATGTAGGGGTTATGGTCACTCAGCACATCCAGCAGGAGGTCCACGAGGCACAGGTGAGGCTGGTTGAGATGACGTCTGTTCAGCCTGGCCATTAAATGAGGAAAGAGCAGCGCTGCATCCTCCAGCAGAAAGAACTCAGCAGTCCCCTCCACTGCAAGAGAAGATAGGAGAAAACATACAGATCATTAGCAGCCAATTTACAATTCAACAGGAGAAGTGTGTTAAGAAAAAAGATTAAGATGACTATTTTGGTGAATCACTGAACAAATTTTATTGTTTTTACTTGAACCAGTTTTAGTAGATTGTTTAATACTGTAGCTTATTTAGTTGGTATTTCTTGAATAAAAACTAATAATATTAGTTATTAGTCTCCTGCTGCCCTGTTTAGCAAAGCCCATGATCATATAAGCCTTTAAAATCTGTGAAAACAAGAAGAGTAAGATAGTAGGTATTTAATGATTTTAGATGAAAAGCTAAGTATTTATAGGTTATACTTTCCATTTCAAAGCCTGCAGTATGTTTGAAAAAGCCAACTTTAATGCATCTTTTGGTTTCATTTGCACAGTTTTGACCACCTGGAGTGTCTGTAATGTGATGTCAGAACACTTCGAAACAGTGGAAGCTTTGAAAGCTTTGTTTTTCCCATCACTAGATTACTGAACAGGAACAATGTGCCAGTGGAAGGTAAGTGCCAGTGAAGCAGTTGATGAAAAAAGCACAATCGTGTGTGTGTGTGTTTGCGTGTGTGTGTGTGTGTGTGTGTGAGAGAGAGATACACTGTAAACAATATTTTTACATTGAAAGATAATATTGTCAAAAAAGTCCCCATTTACAAGGATTGATAAAATGACTGAAAAGTTGATAATAGTTGCTGGGTTGCTGTTAATGTCAGGTTATAGAATGCATCCATGCAAAATGTTACCAAAATCAAAAAAAAAAAAAAAGTTTACAGGACAATAGGAATATTGTTTTTTTTACTTGTACTATAAATTGGCATGGGATGATACCAAGTTTCAAGGTGTACCAAAGTTTGGAAGAGTCAAGGTTTTAAAACCTCAAAAATTTTTTGTTATACTGTACCTAAAGTATATGTAAGGTTTTTTCATGTGTTGTAAACAAATCAGTTTTTTTAAACTAATGAAGACAGCAGAAGTCAATGATTTGTTTGAATTATTTAGCCTGACAGGTTTATTTCTCCAAAATATTATAAATGTTTTCTAAAGTTAAATATATTGTGTTAAATGAGGGGAAAGTTTTTTTTGACCCAGACATTTAAAAATAGCATATTTTAGAGCAGTAATCACAATACCATGAAACCGTGATATTTTTATAAAAGGTTATCATACAGTCAGAAACTTATACCGGCCTATGCCTAACTATGAACACTGTTTTCAAAAGTTTTCATTTCAGGTAAAATGGCATCAGATTTACATTTTTAATTGAAAATGCTGTTATGTATCAGTTTGATAGGTAGACTTTTTTAATTTGATTCCTGTGACTTTACTGTAAAAAACATTCTTGCTGTCTAAATTTTTTTAGTTGAATCAAACTTTTCTAGTCATCTCAAATCAACACCAGTTGAACTGACTAAAATATTAAGTTAAACTTTGTATAACAAAAATATAGTTGACACAAATAGTTCCACACAATTCCTTTATGTTGTCCCAACACAAACAGATTAATTTAACCTTAATTATTTTTGCAAATTTAAGTGGATTGAACAATTAAGCTAATCCTAAAAAAACACCCAAGATTTGTGTTGATTCAGCTCATTTTAAATAAGTAGTTTGAACAAGCAGCAAAACTATTTTTTGAGTGTGTGACTTTTTGTCATATTGTTATTTTACAGTGTTGAAATGATCCTTTCAAAACAGAATATTCCATATAAAGAAGATACAAAGTTTAAAGGGGTGGTCCACTATGATATCATATTTTAAGCTTTAGTTGATCTGTAATGTAGATGTGTGAACATAAATAACATCTCTGTATGTAATACGATCAAAGTTCAACGCAAAGGGAGACATTGGCTTTTACAGAGTTAGCTTAGCAAAGCCTACAGCGAACAGATTTTAGGGACTACAAAAAAAATGCATCCGAGGTAGTGAGATCACAAGAGCTTCCAGTTATATGCATACACCATGTGCAATCAGGGCAAAAGGGGCGTGGTCAGAGGCGCTGTAATGTTAAAGCAGAGAAAGCTTAAATGCCATTCAAATACTATATCCACAGAGCTTCTTCTGTTTCTTTATTTGGGCTTCCAAATGACATGACACAAAGAGAGAAGTGCTTACAGCTTAATTTTAATTATATTCCAGAGAATTATAAAAAAGAGATAGCTAGCTTTTGACAAATGACACCTTTCAGAATATCTCCTAGTTCAGTGCTGGATTCTTAAAAAACTTGTGATTGTGAGCCACAACTTGTAAGTATTTTTAGTTGTTAAAATGGATGTAACAACATGCACAGTTTCTAGCATTAACCCTATGTTGTAGCGAGGACATAAACAAGGATGTAAACAACAGGAAATGCTGTTTGGCACCACTAACAATTCAGCTACAAATTCATATTTATCAGTCAAACCGCAGTGAACACCCACAAACTTCAGCAGCGCTGCAGTGTCTCTCTATGCGTCCATTTTCTGTGCATTCTACATCTCAAATAACAAACTCACAAAAGATATAAGAACGTTTTATAAAAGACTCTTGTCAGATTTTATTTTAGAGAGCAGGCGTGAGGTTCAGCTGTGTGCTCTTCATGTTTCTGTCTGATTTAGGCAGCTTACAGCTGCTCTGACTGGACTGTTAACAGCGTAAAAGTGCATGCTTTTAGGGGCGTGACGTGGGGCCAATCACAACACATTATGTTAGCTAACTAATCAGAGCCTCTTGAGGGACCTTTCAGAGTAATTAGGACATATGATAGTCATTTTCATGTTAGCTGAGTAGCTGTATATAATCATAGTAAGATATATGAAAAAAATAACGTTATGGTTTATAAATGAAGCATGAGCCCATATTATTTTGCATCTTATAAACTCAACCAAGCCTTAAAAATACACTCTGGACCACCCCTTTAAATGATAAAGTTAGCTCTAGAAATAACTGATATTCAAAAATATTCAGCACAGTTAGCAAACACCTCTGAAGACATAATAATACACTTTTTGCACTTTATTGATTTAGTTCACAGCATCCTTGAAAACATCATCAAACAAAGTTCATCTGAGCGCAAGGGAAGCAGAAGCTATTGGAGCCCTCAGCTCTGCCCTCCCCTCCTGCTCCCAAGGTTGGTTTATTTTAGATCAGGAAGGACAAGGTTTCGATCCGGACAGCATATCTTTAAAAACTCTACTGAGGAAAAGCATAGGGGCAGAGGGAGAGGTAGCAAGTGAAAAAAATAAGACAAACCAAATGAGAGAAGAGAATGAGAAGCGCATAAAGCATATTGATATTCAGAGCCGTGCGCTAACCATTAGCTTCCTCCTCCTGCGTTCTGTCTCTCCGAGTTCTCATTATGCACAAGGCAAAACAATGGCCAGTAAACAATTAAAGAGAGCAGGGAGAGTAAATATCACTCTTCAAACAATTATACAGATTGCTTACTCTATGTGACTAAGGACAGGCAGAATTAAGAGTCTACTTTTTCTCTCAGTAAACAGTATAGGTTTGTTTTCAGACGCCATTGTGAGTCCAATTAGTCTTGCTAAATGTCACCCAGATTCACACATAATTGGCAGCATAACCTCTTATTTAAAATTCAGTCACATTCATTCTTATTTGTGCTCACTGTGACCAAACCATTGAACCAGTTGCAGGTGATGACTTCTTAACCTGATATGCTATCCAATTTATAATTGATTAGAGTTCATAAAAAGCAACATGACCAAAGATATAAAGAGTTATCAACTGGCACTTAAAAAAATGTGTGCTGTTCTCTGAGGTTTACTTATGCTATTTTTCATTTAGAAATGTGATTAGAAATAATTATATTTTTTCTGATGTTGTTTTGATTGCCTCATTGGACCACACTATTTAAATAGATGTAGCACACTGAAAAAAAATGATTAATTAGATTTACTCATTTATTTTAAGGTAAGTGGTTGCAAGTAGTCCATATGGGCTAAATTTGAACAAATTAAGTTAAACATTTCTACATTTAATTTGTTTGTTTAAATTCAGCCCATCAAAATAGTTTTTTTAAAAACAAATTTAGTAAATGCAATGAATAATTTTTTTATTGCATAGGGTAGATTTAGAAATCAAGTCCTGCATGTTTGACACCTAAATACTTCATACTACATGAACACTGCTGTGATTCAGACTGAAAATGCATGTATACATATTTATCACACAGTTGGAGGCTCAGAACATTGTTGTCTAATGCTGTGTTCACATCAGACGCAGAACGCGCGGATAAATCGCGATATTCGTGCGTAAATTGCCACGTGAACATTTGAGGTTAATCGCTTCATTCGCGCGTCAAACCCCACTTCATTCGCGCGTCAAATCTGCTTAATTCGCGTGTCAAATTCACTTCAGAATAATAGTTTCAATCTTATGAAAAATAAGCATCATATTATGACTTGTTTGTACATGAATCCTGTGTAAAATGTAGTGAAAAAAGGACCAATTTATTTTGTCTGAAACTTCATTTAAAAAAATCCTCAATTCAGCTTAATGTTGGAACAGCATCATGTTGTGTTCGGATCATCTTTTTTGTTTGGTTGCCTCTCTAGTCATTTACCTAATGCAGTGTAAACTGGTGGGCGGAGCTAATACAACAAAACCTAAAGGGCATTTATTATTGTTGTTATTCTGAGAACATTTGCAGAGTTTAAGGGCATGGCAGTTACTTATTGAAAGTAACACAACACAAAGCTTCTTGTGATTATTGGATGAGAAATGAGTAGGGAATTTATAAGACTAAATTTGCATCCCAAATGACACTCTATGCACTAAGCAGTTACACAGTATACACTTACGCATTTACATACTCATCCTTGTTGAGTTTAGTGTCATAATAAATGGAACAATAAAATTGGGCATAATCAATATATGTGGGAGAATTTTGTTGGCAAAATCCAAAATAAAAATCAAATATCAGTGTCTGATAGCTCCGCCCCTTTCCTTACATGAGCAATACTGTGACCGT